AAATTAAGTACATGTACATAAAACCTTCATAAACTTCTGAAGAATATATTGTTACGTTCCGATAAGTTTACCTGTGAAATTCGGATTAACTGTTGTTGACAAGTTCCGAATAAACGGACCCTGAACCCGATGTATATAAACTACTAAAATATTTGTCAATGAACAATGAACGAAAGAATTGAACAATGATTTATTATTTGAACTTTATCAATTTGATTTATGTATTGTAATTACAAAGCGTTATGTTGTATATGTTCTATATAGGTACAACGTTATTAAGTAATTTTAGTGGTCAAAACCCGCTAACTTACAAATTAGATATTGATTGTGACGTTATTGGTATCTGACGTTTATACGTCATCATAACAACTTTTGTCTATAAAAGACAGCTGTTTTGTGTTTAGAAGTCAGTCTGCATTGGGTTGCGACTCCGTATACTTCGGGTGTAAGACAGTGGTATGTACAAACAGTACCAAGTCTATGTATACGAAATCATTAGTGAAGAGTCATTCAGAGTAGAAACGTCCTGGATTGACCATTGGTTCGTCATCTTTGTATTAACCAAATAACGTTGTACCATTGAATAATTGAACCATTTGATCGTCTTAATAAATATCATAAACTTTACAACGTGTTATTCGTCACGGTTCTAGTGCAGATATTATAGTAGACCAAAAATTGGTCATTATTCCGATTGTATATAAACTTTGTGGATAACCATTTCAACCTTGACCAGTTACCAGAAACCAATAGCGGCCCACGATTAACTGATTAAGTAATAACCTTATACCCTCGGTTTCGTTACATTGGTGGCAGCGGTGGGATCCGCTGTTTAAGAAAATTGTGACACTTAAAAAAAAATAATGATGTCGAGGAACGACGAAGTTATGGAGGAAAATGACCATATTTCAGGACCACAAGAGCATCAATTTATCGAAGGTACTCCAAGCAGAGAAGTGCTTTTGCGGGTTAATAACAACGACCAAATAGGAGATGGCAGCGGAATAAATTCATGTACACAAGACAGTTTACAAACAATTCTAAATGAATTAAAAACTTTGAAGTCGCAAATGAATTTATTACAAAATCAAGTGAGACCAACATGTGCTGACAGCCAACATGTAGACCAAAACAATGTGCGATTTTGTACCAATACCACGTCTGAAGAGGACCAAATACTGAAACAACATCGACCATATAGAAATACATCTCTACAAAATTCATATGACGAATCTCGTGATTATGAAGATTCAAGAACAAGTTGGTCGAACCCGATGGTATCACGCAGCTTTACTAACAACGCTAGAACCAACGAATTTCAGCCGACCATGCGCAGCTTTGAGTACGATGTACCAAATTATGGTCACACAAGACAAGTCCATGACCACAGATTCAGGCGAACACCAGAACCAAAAGGGAGAAAACCAGCAACATTTGATGGTGCCATGAACTGGAACGACTACATAGTTCATTTTGACATGATCGCCCAATTAAACTACTGGGATGAGGAAACAAAGGCATTAGAGTTGGCTACTAGTCTACGCGGCCCGGCATTAAGCGTGTTGAGTGATCTACGACCAGAATATCGATATAATTTTCGCCACCTTGTTTCCGCACTTTCAGCGAGATTTGACCCAGAAAATCAAACAGAGGTATACAAGACACAACTAAAGAGCCGAATACGGAAGAAAAACGAAACTATCACAGAATTAATGCAAGACATAAAGCGACTCGTGAGGATGTCGTACCCGAACGCACCCTTAGGTTTCCGTGACCAAATAACTAAAGATTCGATCATCGAAAGTTTAAATGACCAAGAAATGGAATGGGCAGTGTTTCAAGGAAGACCTAAAAACCTAGAAGATGCAGTGCGACTGGCATTGGAATTTGAGGCCTTTCAACAAGCACGGGGGAGGCAAAATAAAGTTGCAGTACGTATGCAGAGAGAGGAACCAATGTACATAGACGGAAACGAGGATTATACACATCAAGTAGCTATGATCAGTCAAAACAAAGATAAGAAATTTTACAAGAAAGGTCCCTGTTTCTACTGCAAGAAAGATGGTCACATCAAAAGTGAATGTAGATTGCTACAACGACACCTCAAAGACGAAAAACAGAGAAACCAAAGAAAACCAGATTACGCGGAAAACGTGACGACCAAGGAACCCGAGAACCAGGGAAACGCACTGTAGTTGACGTCGGCGGCCTAACGTCAACTACACAACAGAAAGGGCCACATGTTTTTGAAATAAAGGGTTTCAATAATAACTCATTAACAATTGATGTGTTTGTTAACAATGTTAAAATTAACTGTATTATTGACACTGGCTCAGCTATCACAGTTATTCACCCAAAGAAATATTACGAGATAGATAGATGTGTACGACCTAAATTGTCACCAAACCATAATAACTTACGAATGGCAAACGGTGAACTAGTGGTACCAGAAGGTCAGACAATACTTCAGATTCGTGTCAATGGGGAAATTATACAACATAGAGTGATCGTCGCTGACGTTGAAGCACAGATGATCTTGGGTTTTGATTTTCTTAAAGAGCATAACTGTCAGTTAAATTTGGGTGAAGGAACTCTTATCTTGGGAAACAAGAAATTATCATGTGACCTTAACATTGAACAAAGTCATGTGTTCCAAATTTCCGTACAAGGAGCTTTACTACATGATAATAGTGATGGACTAAATCATCAACTATGTGAACCTTGTGATAAGAAGGAGATAAACGACCAGACCAAAGAGGACGATGATAATCTAGTATTAAAGTTAAAAGAAGACCAAACCGACACTCGAAATTGGTACATGACAAAGACAAAAGAAGACCTACAAAAGGAGCAGAATGCAGATCCAATATTAGCGAAAATAATAAAGTGGAAGACAGAGGACAACAGACCAAATTGGCAGATAATAGCAAACGAACCAAAAGAGCTAAAGACATATTGGTCACAATGGAATCGACTGACATTAAGGAATGGAGTACTCTTCAGGACATGGGAAGAAAATGAGCAAACGTTTTACCAGATGGTGGTACCAAAAGCACGTGTAAAAGAAATACTTAAGTTGTTACATCACAATCCTACGGGTGGACATTTGGGAATCTCCAAAACTACCGAGAAAATAAGAGAAAGGTTCTACTGGGCATCTTACAAAAACGATGTTGAGAAGCATATCAGAGGTTGTACCTTTTGTGAAGCAAGGAAGAATACAGCAAGTGCAGCCAGAGGAAAACTGGGTCAGTATTTAGTTAGGAAACCACTGGAACGAGTGGCCATTGACATCCTTGGTCCTTTACCACGGACTAAGAAGGGTAACAAGTATGTTGTTATCATTTCGGATTATTTCACCAGATGGATAAAAACTTATCCGGTCAAAAACCAAGAGGCAATAACCATTGCAAAGGTTTTTGTAGATGAATTTATTTCAAGGTATGGAGTCCCACTCCAGGTTCATACTGGCCAAGGCAAACAGTTTGAGTCGAAGTTGTTTCAAGACTTGTGTAAGATGTTACAAATAAAGAAAAGAAGAAAAACCCCATTCAATCTGAAGAGTGATGACCTAGTAGAGAGATTCAATCGAACGCTAGAAGATATGATAAGCAAGTATGTACAACCTAACCAAAAGAATTGGGACGAAGTTTTGCCATTTCTGATGCTTGCCTACCGATCATCAGTTCAAGAGACCACAGGATACAGTCCAGCAAGATTAAACTCTGGAACAGAGATAAAAGTACCTATTGACCTTGTTTATGGTCACAATCTATGGGAAACTTGTCCTGAAATCTGCCATAAGTTCGTCGACAAGATGAAAACCAACTTAGAGGACATCCATGAGAAAGCCAGCAGAAAAATGATACTCGCGAACGAGAACCAGAAACGAAAATATGACACCAAGGCAAACCAGATTCAGTACACCCCAGGACAACATGTGTGGATTGCATCAAAATCAAGGACCAAAGGAAGATGTCCCAAACTTCAGGTTCATTGGAATGGACCCTATGTAGTGTTACGTGCTGTGTCCGATTTGATATACAAAGTGAAAAAGTCTAAAGCCGAGAAACCAAAATATGTGCATCATGACCAGATGAAGCTGTTCCGTTGTGAAGCAGATGAGAATCTATCTCTGTAACGTGCATCTCTAAAAGATATAAAAAAAATTCTTGATTGACTAAGCACCCCGAAACGAGGACGTTTCGACTTAAGAGGGGGGTATTGTTACGTTCCGATAAGTTTACCTGTGAAATTCGGATTAACTGTTGTTGACAAGTTCCGAATAAACGGACCCTGAACCCGATGTATATAAACTACTAAAATATTTGTCAATGAACAATGAACGAAAGAATTGAACAATGATTTATTATTTGAACTTTATCAATTTGATTTATGTATTGTAATTACAAAGCGTTATGTTGTATATGTTCTATATAGGTACAACGTTATTAAGTAATTTTAGTGGTCAAAACCCGCTAACTTACAAATTAGATATTGATTGTGACGTTATTGGTATCTGACGTTTATACGTCATCATAACAACTTTTGTCTATAAAAGACAGCTGTTTTGTGTTTAGAAGTCAGTCTGCATTGGGTTGCGACTCCGTATACTTCGGGTGTAAGACAGTGGTATGTACAAACAGTACCAAGTCTATGTATACGAAATCATTAGTGAAGAGTCATTCAGAGTAGAAACGTCCTGGATTGACCATTGGTTCGTCATCTTTGTATTAACCAAATAACGTTGTACCATTGAATAATTGAACCATTTGATCGTCTTAATAAATATCATAAACTTTACAACGTGTTATTCGTCACGGTTCTAGTGCAGATATTATAGTAGACCAAAAATTGGTCATTATTCCGATTGTATATAAACTTTGTGGATAACCATTTCAACCTTGACCAGTTACCAGAAACCAATAGCGGCCCACGATTAACTGATTAAGTAATAACCTTATACCCTCGGTTTCGTTACAATATCAAATACCAGTATAAAGGGAATGTTTTTATTTACAAATTTAATTTACATGTGCAAAACATGTGATTGATTCCAGGTATATCACAGTGTATACAAATCTTTGTAAAAAGAGGGAATTGTGCAAAAAAAATAAGCTTGAGTCACTTTGAGTCTGTCTTGTTATCTTTCCTCAGATCTTCCATTTTCTTCATTAAACTCTCCCATGACTGTTTGTTCACCCTTGGCACCTTCAATCATAAAATTAAAAACTATTACATATTTTCATACCTGTTCATTATGGTTTACAAATATAATTATGCGAGATGGTCTGCTCGTGAAAATTTCATTCTCGATTATATTTTCTTCAGTATAGTTTATATACAATAATACCAGGAATTTGTGAAAATTTTGTCTCCAATCTAAATACCAAATACCTAGCTATCTCGCGAAAATAAGGTTTCACGAAATTTTTGTGACCTACAGTACCCTAAGTACTTACATCATAATTTTGGTCAATATAAATCCCTATCACCACACCTGCACCAACAATTCCCTGAAAAAAAAGGAAGTAAAATAAGCAATTATTTACAAATCCTCAGTACTGTCAGTCTGGTGGATAATCATAATTGTAGATTGATTTTTTGACATCAATCTAATATAAGATTGTGTGATATGAGAGAACTGTGAAAATTGCAAACTTAATTAACAAATGCTTTACATCTTCTCAAACGCAGCAAGACAAGTGAAGTAGGAAGACAACAATGCTGCACATATTTCAGGTACAGCTTTTTCTTTAAGTCACAAACCATATGTAGAAATTATGGTACTGAATGGTTAAATTGTGCCTCTTTATTATAATAAAGAAATAATATTGTCAAAGCAATAAATGACATTTACTTTTTTACACAGCACACCTTTGTGAAGAGTATAAAAAGTAACAGTCACATTGGTATTGATCATACAGTGGGCTGGGCCTCTTCAGATTTGTATAGCTAGATTATGAAAAATACAGCTTGGGACCTAAAGACTAAACAAAAGGCATTAAGTGGGCCTAGAAAGGAGAGAAAAGTTGTGCACAACTCAAACTGCAAATATATTCTTCTGAAAGTTACAACAAGACTGACAATTTAATTTCCTGGATAGACCTGAAAGTTCAATGTCACAAATAGGCCCCCCACTGAGAGCCAAACAAACCTCGAAACAAATCAGTTTTCTTTCAGTGTACGAAGTTCCATTACCTTAACAAGTTAAACTCAAACAATATTCTAATTTCAAATTACTGATTCAGATTTTTCTTTATCGTCTAGACTCTAGTTTACTATATGTTGTTTTCGGCAGTTTTCTCACACAGAGAACCTTTTGCACTGCATCCAGAACGTTTGACCTAATCAGCTAATAGTACAGTAGACTTACTTTAACTAAAAGAACAAAATTGGAAGAGATGTAATAGTTGAATTACAATTAAGCAGGTGTTAACTTAAAAATTTACCAACCAATAGCTTCGCTAATTTAAAAACCATGTCAGCTTCAAAATTTTTCTCACTTTTAGTCAAAGCGAAAGTACATTGTCGGCGTTCTGGCGAGATTAACTCAAATTCAAACTGATTCGTTCCTTATGAGGTTCCAGTGGAATTGACAAAGTTTCCCAACCGACGTGCAAAACCGAAACAAAATAACATTTATAAGATTATTTTTAATTTAGAAAAATTACAATTTAAGTTAATTTTTAGGTTACAGTTAAGTAATGTAATTTCATGCAACATATATTTATTAGTAAATGTACAAGAATCATCACCAAGACCAATTTAATCAGAAAACGGGCGGAATTTTTTCTCCCTTCCGCATTTGTAATATTATGATTCGCCCTATTATGATTATCATTCGAAAAACAAAGTTTTCATTAACGAATCACCTGATTTCCATACATTTAATTTCTTTAATATTGCGCACGTTAATGATAACAATAAAAATTAATTTGGATACATTTGTAATGCATTCTCCAAATAAATAGTTGTACTTCTACTAAAGTGACTATAGCTAGAATATAATTAATAATGACCCGTCATCTTTCATTTGATTTAGAATTGAATTTTCATTAAAAACAAACAATAACACATTTTTTTAAATAATCAAGAAAAAAATATTTTATTGATACATATACACCGATAGAGAAACAATATAAATTTCATATTCCAATCACTGTAAAATGTCCAGCAGATGAAACATAACACTAAGTTTATAATTTGTCTGGCGATGTAGTGTCTGCCTCCTCATCTTTTCCCTCCTCTTCCTCTCTATCTCCTCCCTTCGTTCTCTGGCTTTTTCTTGCTTTTCTATCATTGCAAGTTCCCTTTTGCCTGAAAAAGTAGATTACATTACAATAGTTCAGAGTAAGTACTGTTCTCAGTCTCTGCCTCTTTGAAACATCTTTATTATACTGTGTGTGTACTGCATATATACATGTATGAACAGAATAATTGCAGATAGAAAAACCTCTCCTAGAGAAATGCATTAATATAATTTCGTGAGATTTTAAAGTGGCCTTACGTTTTAAAGCAACTTCGTCCTCAGTTTCATTTCTCTGAAGCTTTTTGCTCAAAGGCGACGCTGTGGGGCATGTTGGCTCTCCTCCGCCAATTATCGCAATATCAAAAGCAATGCCACCTCCTGTCACTTTGGCTTTGATTCCATGCTTGTTCAATATCTCTTTGAGTCTCTTTTGCTGTTTTTTGGTGCGAAAAGTAGGAGGAAAAGGTGCAACTTTACTGTTGAAGCAACCCATTTTGTTCACTCTGACTTTGTTGTCAGAGGACGTAAAGTTTATTATGACGTCATCTTATTGTTACGTTATATATACTGTTGCATCAAACCAATCGGAAATGCTCCATACAATCTAAATGTACGAGATACGAGCCACGCAAGGAACTCTCGAGTGGCGTCAAATGCGAAATTTTTCAATGTAATAAAGAAAAATGTGTAACTCCACGGTAAAAAAAAAAAAAAAAAAAAAAAAAAAAAAAAAAAAAAAACCAACAACAACAACAACAACAACAACAACAAAAAACATCTGTTACGTCCCCTAAAGGTATCTTCCAGTCCGAAAAAGGCCATTTGCCACAACGCTCGCCTGAGTCATTTTGGCTTTCCTTTTTCTCCTCTTTAAAATTTCTCTCTTTAATTTCTTGAAAATTTTGACACCATATTGTGGACCAAAATCCAGCCTCATGGTAGTCCGATCCTCAGGTTCTGAAAATCAGCAGCTGTGTAATCGAAAATGCTCACAAAAATGTCCTGAATTCACAAAGCAAAATGCAGTGTGTATTTACACATGGTATTTCTTCAAAGTTCACCATTAAAGTTAATCATATTATAAAGAGAAAATTATCACATCTAAGATATGTTTTCAGGAAACACGTATAATAGCATCAGCTTTGCATTTTCTAATTGAAAATTGACCAACAGATAAATATTAAAGGTATCTAGGCAGTCGGAGAAAATTGCATGTTTTTGGTATTTTAGTTCTTCTATTTACTTCAATTGTTACCGGGGGTATATAATACATGGTGTAAAAAAATCTTGTGCTTTCATTGCAAGACATCACAGATCACTTTTATAATTTCGTCTCATGCTAATACCCAGATAGCAAGCTTACGTTGGGCCAATGCAAGCCCAACGGTGAAAATTACGTTGGCCCTTTGTCAGTTCTATGCGTTGGCCCAATATCATCTTGCTCATCGGCCCAACATTCAAGCAACAAGTTGGCTCGACGTTGGGACAACATTCAACGGTTGGTTATCTTGCATTGGCCCAACGTTTAACTTCCTGTTTGCCCAATGTTGGTTCAATGTTTTTTAAAGCTAAGAATGAATGTTGGACCAACGTTGGCCCTACGTTCTATAAACATGTTGGCAAATGATCGGCGATTGAATTATTTAAGTTCAACAATATGAATTCCTGTAACCTTTTTATTTCCATAATTACGAGTAAAACACAATTGATTGAATAAATCCTGCATGGTAAATTAGCTTGTTCCACAAACAAATGTTTTATTTTTTGTCACTCCTATGGAATGAAATCAACAGAGGGAAATAAAAGTAGTTCAATGTTTTCTCAAGTCTATTCCATATCACTTCGATCACTATAATATTCCTCTAGAATAAGGGTCACAGTGTTCAAATTTGTGAAACTTTGGAATGTTCTCCTGCTACATATTACTTCTGAACCATTCACTCCTTTTTTCCTGTTCATGTTATTGTTTCTTTGTCTGTAAATTCCATGTCTCTCACACTGATAATTGAGGTAAATCGCTCACTGTCTATTAAATTCCAAACATCAATGGTCTTGTAACACAAAGGGTTTTCTCCCCACCAGATGCTATAAATGATATAAAAAATATATCAGTTTAATCCATTCAAAAATGATGTCACTTACTACTTATAAGTTATCATAACTTAACCAGATCTAGTAAATATACATGCATCAGTGGCGTATATTCCTATCTGCTTATGTGTAGGCTAGTGAGAAGTCAGAGATTTAACCCGAGTGCAAAATGTGGGTAGGCAAAGAGAAGGTCGCCCCCTCTCGATATATAGGGATTTGGGGAAGGGGTGGGATCTTTTTTGCGAAGACATCTACGATTGTCATCTACAATTTGACAAATAAAAATAATATTGTTAACATTTCAGTTTCAGTTTATATCATGATATGAAGACTACTTAAAAAAATTGAGAACTTTTAACTTATTTTTACTCTACTTAGAAAATATGCAAACTTCCTTACTGAATAATCTAAATACAATCAATGTAATTTCCTACTAACCAAAACTATAGTTCCAGTAATTGTAGATGACATAGATACGATTGTCGTCTACAATTTGACAAGTGAAAATAATATTGTAAACTTTATTTTTTAGTTTATATCATGATATATATGAAGACTACTTAACAAAATTGAGAACTTTTAACTTATTTTTACTCTACTTAGAAAATATGGAAACTTCCTTACTGAATAATCTAAATACAATCAATACATTTAATTTCCTACTAACCAAAATATTTATTTCCAGTTATATTAATTTTATTTCCTGCACTTATCATGACCTCCTGTTGCTGTCAGTGATTTTGAAATTCTCTGGTACAGACTTGATAAAATACTTGAGTTTCGGATTTAAAAAAAATCCCAACTATAGGAAGTTTTGTCATTAAATATATAGTAAAACTGTCAACGTTGGATAGGTATAAAAGTACGGATTGCTGAGAATGCTATTTTGGCATTTGCAACAAAATAAAATTAATAGATAAGAATAAAAACACAGTGCCATCCTAAATTTTACCGGCACTTGTTTTATATTAAGACAAGGAAAATAACTCTCTCTCATTGTGTCGAATTCAGTAGTATGGATTACGTATCCTTCTTCTCGAGTTCCTATTATAAATTGTATTTTATACAAGTATAAGCGTTGGTATCTAAGGCTATATTACATGAAATTCAATTTCTCCAAAAATATTTTCATTTGTGTTCTTTTATAGGGTAAAGATGTCAACTTTTTACAATACTGTTTCAAGGACTTCAAAGAACCTTGAATCATATATTAAGATGATGAAATGAAATTGTTGCACGAAAAGATTTCATTTTCAAGCTTCTTTTGAGATTTTTTTAATTAAATAATGATTTTAAGAGTTATCCTTCATAGCTGAGGAGCTGTTGAATCCACAGAACACTGGGATACATGTACTTCAATAATCAATACGATCAGCACACGACCCTCCTGTTCTGAAGAAGATGTTTTTTTTTCTTTACACATGCATTATTTAAATTTCGATCTCTGATTTCGACCCAACTTTATCCCCAGGGCTCATAAATTAAAAAAAAAAAAAAGAATCCACGCAACTTACAATTAAGAATGTTTATTAATATGGTTTAATGTGGTTTTGTCACTCTTGAAATTTTTTCCTATATACTTTCTTATAAAACTCTGTTTCACCAAGACTGTAAATTGATCTTTTTCATACTCTGCAATATACTGTTGAAGTTTTTTGTTTGTTTGTTTCTGGTTTGTTTGTTTGTAAGCTTTTTGGGTTTGTTTTTTGTTGATTTTGGTTTTGTTTGTTTGTTTGTTTGTTTTGGGGGGGGGGGAGGGTAGGGGGTTGTTTTGTTTCGTTTTTATAGAAACATTTTTAATTGCCAACAAAATCCTGGATAAATCTTTGCTGCATATCTGTTTTGGCACCCTAGCTTATATTTTACCTATCTTTATTTTACTCATATTGGTGTTTTCCCAGGTTCCTACATATATGTGAATTGATTAATAACTGGAAATGGGGAAACGATTGATTGATACATTTGTTGCTGGATTGAGGAGCGAAACGCCTAAAAGTTCCACCTAGTATAGATTGAAAGAAACTAAAGGTAAAATTTTTATGAATCGAACTAAACTTGGAGAAGCAGTAGGAAGACAATAATCTTTTTTTTATCTGATGACTCTTCGTGCCCTAACAAATTTCACACTCAAAAAAATCTGTGTAACATCATGCCAACATTTTGTCTGGCATTAAAAAGCTACACGTGAGAACTGACAAATAGAGTTTTCTGTCATGTTGTAAATTTAAAATTACCGGGTGACAGTAAATACAAAATTTACAACATGACATTTCTGTTGATGCTGCAGATTATTTTAATAGATAAATATATATGCAATGAACTGAATGAAATTGAATGACATAATCTAATGGCGGGGACCAAAGACTTCCAAACCAAATTGTTTTTTACTAAGCTAGTTAACTTTTGTATTTTCGACAGTGATGAATCTCAATTTCCCATACTGAAACTGTAAATAATTAATTTAAATAAATTGATGAATTTCCCATGAGATGGATTTAACCTATATTAAGGTATTATAGGATCCATGCTTCGACGGACCCTCCCCCCACCCCCATTTCCTGATACCTGGCCATAATCTGACATCATGCATATATTTGAAAATCCACTGTAAAATAAGGTACAATCCTATGCCCCCCCCCCCCCGTTTAAGGAAAATTAATTCCTGAATTGCTAGTATAACCGATAATTAGAATGACAATCCTTAAATCACAATTTTCGGTGGAATCTCAGGATGATTTTGCACTTATAATATTTATTGTGTATATATTTCTTCATCAAATAACATGCTGACTGTACACTGGACCATATCCGTCACACTACCAAAAATTTTGGGTTACAGTATGGTATGCAAGCAGCATTCAAAAGTGTCTTAAATTCTTTGTATTCACTCAGCATGGTTTGTATATGTACATAATTATGCAAACATCGTGAACTGGGTCTACAACTACTATCTTGAGGCTTTATTCAGCATGTACTTGATCACACCCTCTTAAGAATTTCAAATTGCAGTCTTTTGTGCAGTTTCAAATGAATGAAAAAAATCAATTCACTACTCTAATAAAGAAATTTTTACGAAATCGATCTAATGACAAAAGCGTCAGAGTAAGGTAAGCATGACGGGAAGGTTATCAAAATCTTGATAAAAAGACTTTAAACATGAATTAGTAGTAGTTATCTGTGCTTGGCATATTAAAGCAGTTACGTCGTAGTTTAAAAGTTCAAGATATCCCTGACGTACAGCACATAATTATGGCGGCTTTCATGCATGTTTCTGACAACGAGGATATTAGACTGAAATGTGACACACATAATAATGACTTGCTCCCACTGTTTTGTAGGGACTGTAATTGTCATCTCTGCGCCGACTGTGTTACACTTGATCATGCTGGACATAACATTCGTAACGTTTCGGAAGTCGTAGAATTTCATAAGCAGGAACTTCGAGAAATTCTGTGTCGTGATACATCATCACAGTTTCTTGCAAAACGTTTAAGCCATTTGCAAGAACAACAAAAATCCTTGGCCGTGCATACCGAAAGTCTGCTACGAAATGTATTAGATCGGGAGGACGAGATTATGGAGAGAGTTAAAATTTGGAGACAGGATATATTTGACAAAATTATATCATTCAGAGAAACTTGTGAGGCAAATTTGAGGGATGATCAAATTATTATATCTGCTCTACTTCAACACCATGAAAAGAGTCCACAATCAGAACCAGGAAGAACTGAATTAGAACTTTCGTATCTGTGTTTCCGAGGAAAACATCTATTAACTTCAGAACGTTGCATGACGTCTGATAAAGATATTTCTGATTTATATAGCTTTAATATCGGACCTTCTGGTGAAGACTTATATGACACTTTTGGAATATTTAGATATGGTTCAGAAGAAGAGTTGTCGTCAGATTCAGTTTCTATTAACAGCAGCAAAGAAGAAGAAAAAGAAGAATTTTGTGATTGCGAGGACATACAAGGAAAGTATCAAGTTTGCGATAAGTCAATCGAAAATATTGTACCTATGGATAGTTTGAAGTTCTTTGTCCATAGTTTGAGTAACGTATACCTCTGTTCTTTTCACGGAAGTAAGATTGATACAAAGCTAACTTTGAGCAATGTTTGGCGAATCGCCCTGATACCGTCAACAGGAGACATACTTTCAATAACGAGCAATCAGAAACAAATAAAACGCATTTCTTTTGAAAGCACAATAACAACGTTTTTAGTTACGGGAGACCTATATGATGATGTCAATTCAGGAGGAGACCAGGCATACGCATGCGTTATGTATAAATCAGATATAAACAAAGCGAGGATGGGCTCATGCTTCGTATGCATACACCTTTTAAATGAATTTGGAGTGATTTTGAAGACTTTCGAACGTGGTCTTGGATTTGTCTCTTGGAGGTTGTTAAAAACAAATGAAGAAAACAAATTCTATCTGTCAACCAAAAACAGAACTCAAATATTCGATGGTGTATTGGGCAAATGTACTGCAGTATACAGTGGAGCAGTTGGAAAAGATCCAGGCTTACGATTCCATACATGTGACATGATAACCGATAGTAACAACAATGTCTTACTTGCTGTTCAAAATGACAACGCCATTCATTTATTAAACAAAGCATTAAAATTTCAGAAACTGTTATTGACTGAAGAAGATGGGCTCCGACTGCCATCTAGTTTAGCGCTAGACAACTTTGGTTATCTCTGGGTGGGATGTGAAGATGGGCAGATACATGTTGTGAATTATCAATATTTACTGATGACAGATCGATTAGCTAGACTAAAATATAGGAGTGCTAAGGAACACATCTCCTAGTTTTTCTTAATGATTTAAACGTCTTTTTATCATAATTGTAATACATGTATACAAACAATAATAACTTTTATATTAAATATAATTGATCTAAAGTTAAACACTATGAAACCTCGCACAGTTTTGGAGCCGATTTTGTAACGTCAACAAATAAATTGAAGCAATAAAAACTCTTCAATAATATGTATGGATTTTTTTTTTTTTTTGCTTTTGAATGTTAAATTTGAATATTGTAAAGTTATGTGCATTAAATTAAAAATTATTAAAAATAAAAATAACATTAAAAATCGTTAATATCAACACTATGCCCGATGAATAAGTTATTGACGAAGTTTCATTTGATTAGACTGCAAGAAATTGATATGCAGGAAATGTCTCCAATTTCTTATCTGGAGTTGTTGACTTTTTTTTTGTACAAAAAAAACTTTTTTAAAATTATCTAGTCTCCTTCCACATTTCATTTTTCTTTTCTCCGATTCTTATCTCTTCTATTAATTTTTACACGTTTGTTTTTCCCCTAAAAACATTCAGTGCTCAAAATGTCATTTTTTGGACGTTTTTTATACGTTGCCTAAGCGTAAAACGTTAAAAAATGAATGCGTAACAAATAACACAAAACATCGAAATTTTGCTCAGTTAAATGAATAAATAATAATAAATGATTCTACTCTTTAATCATAACAATATTTTTAATTTGCGCATTTCGAAAATAAGATGATTTCTTTCACAAATCATCTATTTGAAATAGTGACAAACCTAATATCCACAATATACCTCTCTTAAAACAACATTATACATGTACTATAATTCCTTTGAGCCAAAGTAACAAAATTGACCAGACATCAGATCACTTTTTAGTATAAAGGCTTTACCTCTTCCAAGAAACACTTGCTTACTTTATCATTTGCACATAATATTTATCATCTTTATTTTATAAACGGGACATTTTATATAGAAAAATGTCTCACCAAACATTCCAACTGTCATTATTTTTTATTTATTTTATTTTATTTATCTTTTTTTTTTAAATTCACATGTTAGGAAATTCTACCTATTTTACGAACAGCCGAATTCGGACAGTATTAATCATTTTGTAATGCATTTTGAATGACATCATCACAGGACGTCATGGATGCTTGTGCAATTAGCATAAAAACCCAGACAAAACGAAATTACCAACGCTCGACTTTCAGTGTTACGCCAAAATAGTCCGTGCGAGTCGTATGTATTCATGGTTATTTCAAACTGATCAAGGATTTTTGCTACAAATCTGTCTTTTTATTCTGTTGGAAATAAACAACTGTCAAGATAACAGATTATTATTTAAATGTGTTCTTTTGTAAAAATCTCTTAACTTGGTCATAACCTTTGAGTAAAAAATGGTTCTATACCGTGTGCAAACAGAAAAATTTGACTGTTATATTATTAGTACATAAAATCACTGTCAGTAATACTGTTCAAAAACAAAAACAGGCACTTTTTTCCAAAAATAATCTAGAAAATTATTTTATTGATTGATACATCAATCGAGAAACAATACTATAGAAAGTGATGCAGATTCGAGTCACTGTAAAATGTCCAGCAGATAAAACATAACACTGAGTTTATAATTTGTTCGGCGATGTAGTGTCTGCCTCCTCATCTTTTCCTTCCTCTTCCTCTCTATCTCCTCCCTTCGTTCTCTAGCCCTCTCTTGTTTTTCTATCATTGAAAGTTCCCTTTTGCCTGAAAAAATTAGATTACTCCAAAATAAATACTTCTCTGTCTCTCTGCACATGCATGTGATCACATGCATTTAATATTATATAATTATACTGAATAATTTTTGGTTAATATATCTTAAAATCTTGGACCCTCAATGCGGTTACAAATTCGATGTCTACGCAATTTCACGTTGGCCTTACATTTTAAATTAACTTCATCTTCATCCTCATTTCTCCGAAGCTTTTTGTTCAAAGGCGACGCTGTGGGGCATGTAGGTTCTCCGCCGCCAGTTACTGCAATATCAAACGCAATGCCACCTCCTTTCACTTTGGCTTTGATTCCATGCTTGTTCAGTATCTTTCGCAGCCTCTTTTGCTGTTTTTGGTGCGAAAATTAGGAGGAAAAGGCGCAACTTTACTATTGAAACAACCCATTCTGTTTACTCCGAATTTGTTGTTAACGCAATGCTTACTATGACGTCATCTGAATTGTTACGTCATATGTACTGTTGCGTCAAGAGAGATATATATGCAAGAATCATCAGCACTGTGTTTTTATACCTCTCGAGAATTTTTCACTTATATGGAGATGCCATCACTTGCCGGTGGAGAGCTGTAAATTTTGTCCTCTACTCGGCACTTACGGCCATTGTTTATCGTGCCAGCACTTACTGCGACACGGGACCTCGGTTTATACGGTCTCATCCGAAGGACCGGTCTCCACGTCCCACAGTGGGATTCGAATCCGCAACAGCACTGTGTTTCATTGCGTCATTTTTCATAATTAAGAGAAATATTTCATACTTAGTATAAACACAAATTCACAAATATTTAATTCAAGACACCCTTAACGAAACTTCTAGACTTTCTACATGTATTTTTACAGCAGGACGAATCCCATTGATGTCTACATGAGAAATATTTTATTTCATTTGGATTTTTTACTGGTTTATATTTTTTGTTAAGACATTTGTTATACTTGTCGCCGAGCATTTAAAAAGAGTAGACGAAACTTACATAGCCTATATACATGTACACGTACATGTATCGGTAAAATATTTAGCTTTAATTTCACGTACATGTACAATAATTCTCCATGAAGTGTTGACTTTGCGTTTAAAATAATACATTCCTCACGAATTTTTTTTTTTTTTTTTTGTAAAGAAAAGCGAAATAATTTGGAATTTCATATACGACAGCCAACTGCTCACTGCTTACTGCCAACTGCCACAGCTCATAGATGGTATTGCCTGTTTTGTTATCTTTAATATGCATGCTTGTATAAACCCTATGATGGCAAGAATATTACAATAATAACACAAATTGGCGGACGAGAAAGGAATAAATAGGAGGAAGGTATTTCCTCTTAAATACAAAACATCTAATTCCATACACATTTCCTTGCAGACAAATAATTCAGTAGATTCTATTGACGGGGGGGATTAAAGGTTTATATTACGTCAGAAAAAAATGAGGGGGGGGGGAGGCAAACTTTAGTGGGATCCTGAGTAACTATGCATTTATACCAGAAATACTAATGAAAAATCATAATACAAGGCATTTATTTTACTTTATGTAAAAACTTTTGATCTAAGGCAAGAAAGCAATTTTCGTGCGGGGGGGGGGGGGGGGAACCCAACAGAAATCCCTTGACAAGTAATTTTAAAAAAAGGTCACAGGCGTCATTATTGATGGAGCACTACTGTATAATATATTTTGGCAATTTATTAGGGACACACACCACCGCCATCACCATCACCTTTTTTACAGATCTTACATTAGTCATTAAAACGATTTAAATAAAACGCATATAAAAATTCACGAATACAGGTACATGCAACTTTCATAAGGTAAAAAAGAAACACTAAAAGATGTATTGTTAGATATTTTACCCTAAGCAAAAGTTATGTATAACTATAATTTTCAGTAATATTTCTAGTATGGATACATATGGCAACAAATGTTACCCAAGACCTTAGTATCGCATGTGACCCCCCCCCCCCCCGCGTCAGAAAAGCTACTGAATTTGTGGGAATTAAATGTTTTGTTTTTAAGTACAGAAATGCTCCTTTTCCCGATTTACTCCTTCCTCGCTTCACAGTTTCAAAATTCCTGAACCCGCCAATTTTTGTTATTATTGTAAGAACTGAACTACGCACACTAACTCTCGATTCCCGCCTACATTTTACATCCATTTAATTCAATATACATGTTAATGGCAATTTGGTCATTAAAACTTGTTTGAATGCAAAGAAAACTTCATTAGTAATAGATTAACAATTTTAAAAACCAGTGTCAAAAAATTAATTGCTCTTATTTACAACTCCTTTCATAAGGGAATAGAAAATTTTATCAATTGAAATCAGGCTTTAAAACATCACTAGATTTTCAAATACTCATGGAAATGGATAAATGAATCTTAAATCTCTCCGTATGTTTAAGTTATGTAAAATTTAACAAATCAGAATGATAAAGTACATTTTTGATTTTTTATCTCATTTGAAATTGGTAATAAAATGACCATTTTCCTGTTTTTAGTCTTTAAACATTTAAACATACCCCCCCCCCACCCCCACCCCCCAAAAAAACCCTTTGGTATGAATTTGTAAAAAAAAAATAAAATAACAATTCATAATACCTGTAAATAGGAATTGTTGTTTCACGGAGAGAGAGAGAGAGAGAGAGAAAGAGAGAGAGATGTTTTGAAAATAATTTTCAGTTGATTTCTATAGTGAAAAACACGTTTTACCAAATGAAAGATTTATCTCTCTTTGTTTTCCCAAATAAGTTATGTTTTATGAATATTCACGTAAATGAAAAAATCATTCAAACACTTTTGAAATTGATTTGTAGGTAGTTGGTAGAAAAATATAATCGTTCGCCGTTCATTTCTTGCTTGCAGATAACAGTAAGCAGTTGGATGTCGTGTATGGAATTCCATAAAATAACATGATTTTTTCTTTTAGGAAAATAAAATTTACGGTAAAACCCAGGAGCTTCTGGGGGCTTCGCATTTAAAATTTAAATTGGACCAGTTCCTGAAATAACATGCGCTAGATAATCTGCATGTATGAAAAACTTCCGTTATTTTCCTCCATCAAAGTTACTATAAATGATCGTGAAATTTTCATACTTAAAAAAAATAAAGAGAATACGTTGGATATATTTTAAATTCATCCCAGATTAATATTGTTTCTATGTTTTTCTCCTTTGCAACTAGTCATGAAAATAACGCGCCTCCAAAAAGTATCACCTACCCACAGGCATCGTCGCAAACCACGGCCAAAATGTAGATCCTCTCCCATTCTAGAGCTATATGCGGACTCCGGACTGTGACCCACAGGAAACAAATTGGTTTTGACATGTTCATATGTCACTTCATCTTTTTCGGGTCTTAACTCTTGAAGTCTTTAGTATGTCTTTGCTAATGACCAACGGGGTGTTAAAACCTTAACTCAAGGTCGTGTATCAAAGGTCAAAGCCACTATGCTGTGAGGTGCAGGCTTATGTACATGTACGTAGCTCAGGTATACAGTGTATCTTAGTTTTAATGACCCATGCATTTTATGTCAGAGTCTTGATTCAATGTCATATTTTAAATGTCAGGTCAGTTGACAATCAGAACGTGAAATCGTGCCCAGGTCAAAAATTTGAAAACGTTGAAGTTAATTTATTAAGACTTGAGTATGTACTTCCCGAAGACAAAAAGATGTTATATGACCTTGACTCATTAAAAGTCTTGAAAGGTCATGTCCTCAAAGTTTTACGGTATAATCAGCATGATCAGGATATAAATGCACAATGAGGGATATAAAATTCATTTTTTTTTTCAATTTTAAAGCGTTTTTAAAAATCATGTTAAAATTATGCAATCATTTCTATTAGTTTTTTATGGTAATTGTTTGTGTTTTGATACTCAAAATGGATTAAAACTTTTAACTAAAGTATAAGTATGTCGCATTATAAAACAGTGAATTTAAATAACTAGATGCCCACTTCCTTTTGAACTAAGCGTATATGTAGGTCAGTGTATTGGGGCTGGCCTTTACATTGAACTTTCAAACTTCATGCCAAAGTTTTAATCTAATTCATGAGCAGATTATCGGGTTTAATAAATGAATGATATACATTTTGCATGCGCTAGTAGAATTAATAAGATATTAAAAATATCTAGTTCAAGTGTAAATTAAAACACTAATTCGAGTGAAATGTTTTTAAAAAACACTTTAATTAAGGAATAACTGTCTTATTTTTTGGATTCATGATGTGATCAATCGAGTGGCTTGCGTGATAATTTGCATAAACGCCGAAGGCGTTTATGCATAAAATTATCACGCAAGCCAATCGATTGATCATCGTCATGAATCCAAAAAATCTGACAGTTATTCCTTATATTTACATGCTCCTGATTCTGCAAATTCCCGTGCTAATAGCCCCGCTTCTGTCTCTATTTGTCCCGCCCGGCACGTGATTTTTTTTTAACCGCGCCTATCGATGAACCAGTAGATTTATGTAGAAATAAAGTATTTTTACAGTTTGTAATTTTATCTCGGACAAAGACATTGGAAATGTAAATATATGTGTATGTAATCATTATTTTTACTGTACAGAATTTTTAAAGAAATTAAACACCAACAAATATTTTAGATTTAAAAAAAAAAAGAATTTTGTAAAACAACAATGAAGCGTTGATGTTAAGTCAGACATTTTTTTTCCAGAACGAAGAAATTTAAATGGCAATAAGCATAATTTGAAATTTAAGACTTGGGGGAAAAAAAGAAAAGTTTTTTTTTTTAAACTTTAACCAATGTCTGTCATGTGACGTATACAAGATAACGAAATGTATCTAATTATATCGGTTGTATTGGATGAATCGTGATGGTTACTTAAATTCACTAAGATAATACTATATTATCTACTAAATATTTTTTATTTTATTAATTTCAATCGAAAGAATGAAAATCGACCGTCCCTTTCATAAACCCATTGTCGATTAATCTTCTTATGTACATTATTGGAAGGTAACAATTGTATAAATGTTTTATCAGGCGCGTATTAATTCCGTAGATTTGAAATATAGGGCACTGGTAAAATCCTCGTCACATCACATAGTTTGGTCGTTTATGGTGTCCTAAAGTCCTACATTTCTGGGGAGACTTTTAACAGTGTCCATCTGAGGGGGAAATTTAGGATTGTCCGGAGCACGACAGCAGACAACAGTCACCATGGAAAAACCCGGAGCACATCGTTTCCAAGTCATCGTTTTCTTCCTCACCATTTCTTCATCGTTTGGATTTTACCTCATAACTGATTGTAAGTAAATAATTTTTTTTAAATTCTACATTATATTTTTTTCAAATGCCGGGAGAATCTTTACTTGACATTTTATTTATTTATTCATTCATTCATTTATTTTCAAAGCAGCGAAAAATTAAGTCCACGTGATTTTATTAATATTTCAATATTATAGTCGACTTAATGATACGATACTTTGTGGATAGAGATGATTTTAAGCAATATTTATTAAACTTTTTATTATGAAATTCCAACCTCAAAATTCAATAAGTAAATACCAACTGTTGACCTACTCCCTAAATTGTGTTCAATTATTTCAAGTTTCGTGAGAATTTAGGAGAAATTCGCAAAAGTTTGTCATCTCTACAGTAACTATTTATGTCATAAAATCTATCAATGATCTACTGTTATATTGTAGCTTTAATGAATTAATTTTTATCCAAATATAAATAAACCCACATATTTATGTATGGCGTGTAAAAAAAACTGCATTATTATACTTTTTTGTTATTCTTATTCAAAGAATTTATCATTGTTATTCTAAAACATATCATTCCTAAAAGTGATTCCTATTCGATAAGTTGTTATTCCTATTCGAAAAATGTGATTCCTAATCGATAATTTTGTCATTCTTATTCGATATCTTTGTCATTCCTTTTAACAAGATTATCGAAGAGGAATTTATGTTTTCGAATAGAAATGATATGTTTTTCAATAGGAATAGCATGTTTATCGAATATAATTCATTTAATTATCGAATAAAGACAAAATTATCGAAAAGGAATGATAAATTATCGAATAGAAAACATTTTTTTTGCATAAGAATAACAATTTATCGAATAAGAATCACCTTTTATCGAATAGGAATGATATGTTTTAGAATAAGAATAACAACATTTTTGAATAGGAATAACAAAAAAGTAAAATAATGCAATGTTTTATACGCCATATTTAGGTAACATTTTATCATTAGTAGACGCATTTATGCTCATTTCAAAATTAAACATTTTGTTAGGTTTAAAATGGTTAACATGGTGTTTGGTGCACTTATATATCATTAATGGGTGCAAATATGCACAATGGAGCTATATCACCAGAGGATTCTGTATCCTTGGTTAACATATTGCACCACTTGCAAGGTTGAAAGTAAAGGTATCATGAAACATATTCATTGAGAAGAAATGGAATAGACATTTTCGAGTAATAAATTGGCAAAGAAATGTGAATGTTGAAGAAAGAATTTCTATTGCGAGATTGAAAGTTTTAACGAATATTTTATCAAGCCTTTGGCAGTTTTCTACCATATTCCTACATCAAGACGCTAGGGAAAATTCGTCACTGTTTGTTATAAACCATTACAGATTGAACAAGAATATTATTTTTTCTGAAAAAAAATTATGTATTGTAATGTACATGGGTTTGCAAATCTAATTTAATTAAAATAAGGAATTTAATTTCACCTTCAATACATGTCATAGAAAGGTGTCTTTAAATTTTAGGTCTGTAGTTTAATTCATTACAATAAGATTATATTGAATCACCAGCATTTATGTTAAGTATAAATTCAAACATGATAAATCTTCTTAAGAGAAATAACAGACAAGATCAATTCGATAAATTAAAATAATGATTCAGTTATAAAACACGTACTTTATTCAGCTCAGCGGTCAACGGCACGCGAAATTCAAATATTTATATAGCATCGCAGTGGAATTTACTGGTAAAATTATATTGTCTCCTGTCAAGACTTTTAAATTGACTTCGAGGTATACATCTATCTTATATACCCGGTCAAGTTAAATAGAACTTAATTTGGGGAAAAAAACCACAATGATTAGTACTTCAGAGAATTTTAACTACTTCAAGATGAATGACGAAAGAGGGAACGTTCATAGGTTTTAATATCCTTTAGCGCACCGACCCTAAGAAATACATTATGCTAGTATTACAACAAACCCAAACTACGTCATGCTTAACTAAGATCTTTATCTGTAGAATCTATTACTTTTTTTTTTAGAATTTTCCGAACAATTGTTCCGTAAATTTTGTAAATTTAAACAGTAAAATGTTTGTGTTGTAGCGCAAAACTACCAAGTATAAAAACTTTTGCTAAAAACGCAACACTTTTCGAACATATATGTATGCATGTAACACAAAGTCGTATCATAATAGGAATAAAATCATAAAAACAAGCAATTTTAAAGTAAACTGTTAAAACTAAGTAGCCCGACAACTTAAGAAATACCTAAAAAAGAAAACTTATTCCATGTGATTTCACAAATTTCAATTCTGTCAAATATTACAAGAAAGCTGTATATATATAAGAACATGTAATTTAATAATAGTATTTTTTTAATCAAATGGTACAGTGGATATCATTCCCCTTTGCTTCTGCTTAATGAGTATTTGGACAGGAGACCTACATTAATGATAGGTCCAACAATCAACACTCAAAATAAAATCATTTTTTATTTATTGCAGATTATATGGACCCTGATTTGTCAAGTTCTTTAGGGGGAGTTTGCAATAAAAGGGTAGAAGATGCTTGTGCCTTTTTAAACAGTCATTTGGATCCATTTGGTCTAGTAGATTATGGTGGAAATGTTGACTGCACCATGGTCTTTGATGCTGGAAAAATGGCTGGTGCCAAATTCAAATTTGATTGGCTGTACTTTAATTTGGAAGGAGGAGATTGTTCAAAGGACTACTTAGCTATCTACGATGCTGATATGTCAGCTATTGCGCCATCAAACCTCGTAGGGAAATTCTGTGGGCTCAATGGCGTCAGCTTCAATGGTACTCCAACGGATCGCTACATGACTTTTGTTTTTCACACCGACGGATCCGGTGCCAAAAGTGGTTTCCGGCTAAAAGCGACTCGTTACGAACCATGTGAGTGATTATTTCAAGCATATTCTATAACTTATGAAAATTGGAAGCACTTCTTTTTTTAATAAACTTTTTGTGCTGAAAAATACAGACCGCAAACGATTCCGTGTTTATTTTTCATGTGGAAAGGTTTTTTTTTCTATATAAGTAGAGGTAATTTTCAATTACAATGTGGGAATTAATGAATATCAGAAATTGGTAGAAATTATAACCATGACTCTTGTAGAGGATATCACATAATCACAGGTTACTATCATGAACTTCTAGTATGGATTGTTTCTGAAGTCATCAAATAAAAGTGGGCGAAAAGGGGTCTTTAGTTTACCTAGTTCTTTTTTAAAAACTTCTTATAAAAACACGAAGTACTATATACATGTATTGGATTTATATTACTTTTTCCCTCCATTTTAGCCCCATGTCAGTCAGAAGAATTTTTCTGTAACGACACCATTGCTAACAACATTTGTATCGACGAACGTCTCACATGCGACGGAACACAGCACTGCAGCGACAACTCAGACGAACTCAACTGCTCTTGTAAGTACTGGTATATCAACACCTAATTTGGAGAAAATTTTCGAGTAATTTTTGCGTTTAATGATATAATTTTTATTTTAAATCAAAAATATTTTCTTGGCAGTTATGGAGGAGTTGCTGGGATCATTCTTTGCCCTGGGGTTAGGGGGCATGATTATGTGTGGTGTAGCATGTATTGCGGGTTGTGTAGGGTTATGGACAGTAGTAGGAGCTCTTACATGCTGCAAAAAATGCTGTACCAAATGCTGCTGTTGTTGGCCATGCTGCAAGAAGTGTAAAGGTTTGTTTTTCTTTCGGCATCAATTCATTTTTTTTTTAAATTAAAAGATAATTATCCGAAACTAACAGCAAATTCTGTGTTATATATGTATAAGCTTCACATGAGAGTTAAACCAAAAACTTTAATTTTACAGATGTAGAATTAATAAAAAAAAGAAATAGAAAATTTGTGAGATAAAAATTCATAGAAAAAAAAATGAAATATTCGCATGAAAAACGACACATTCCTTTCATCTTTGATTAGTCTTAATCTTTTGTAAAAATTAAACGTGTCTTTGGTCTATAGGTGGAAACTCCAAAGTTGAACCAAACACAGAAATGGATGAATATGACCCTGAAATGTCCCCTCCACCCACTTACCGGGAGGGCACCAAACTTGAGGAGGATATTGAGTGGGACGATGTTGAGGATGACATGAATAAAGAGAACTCTGCCGGAATAGGAAAAGACGCCAAAACTAACCTAGCCGACGTGGAATAATAATTAGATGTGTATATGCAAATCAATTGACTTGAAATTACTTCAATGTATTCAGATATTTATTTTGTTTTATATTTTTACAATTTTTTTTTATAGACATCCTTGTTTCTTAGTCATCAAACATGAAATACATGGATAACACTAATTTTTGCTAGATTTGCGTCAACATCCACTGTTAATCAGTTTCCATCAAAATACTCCTCTTTAATGCAATTACTTGGAGCGTTGATCGCCCCAAATGTAAAATAATTCGAGCATCTTGCGCGAATATAATGTCACGGGCTTACGATATACCAAGTACTCATCTTTAAATATACTTTAGAATTACTTATAAAATATACCATATATCGATCTGTTTCTATTCAAGTGTCGGGGATGGCGAAAATTTAGAGTGTTTTTTTTTTTTTAATTTCATCACTTGAATATTTTCTAGATGAAGTATCAAAATCATCTCATAGAAATGATTTTTAAACTTATGAAACACACACATCTACGCCAATAAAAGGATACTTACTGAGTTGCATTTAAAAAATGAACTCGATTAATATATATTTGTTATTGAACAAAAAAAATTGTTTTCATTTTGTTGATGATCACAGTGATCTAAGATTTTCTGAACTTTTTAACATTTATTTCATGCTGGTTATGGGATTATATCTTTGTTATATTCTTCCCCTACCTTAATTACTGTTTTTTTTTTAATAGATATTTATTGAATCATGTAGTTCTCAGTCATTGGTGCCAAACTGTTTTATTTCTTTTCGTGAATAAAATCACATTTCTTACACAGTTTAATTATTGTTTGTTGTTATATCAAATATAATTCCATTTATTATTTAACATAAAAAAAAATTGCGCAAAAACTAAAAAAAAAAAATCCAGGCTAGAAATGTATTCAATGAATTTAGGGGTTTGTGTTTGGAAAACTTCGTCAGTCCACGGGCACCTGACAACAAACACCAACTGATTTTTTAAAAATTCATTACACAAGACATATATGTATAACATAATAATTAATTTAGACAATCATGATTTTACTGTCTTGAAAGTGAAGTCAAAATCCCCATTCACAGGTACAAAAGCCAATGATACATTTATGGTTTCTATATTTTCTATTAAACTTTTGCCTTTGTTCATCAGGAGATGAACACCTTGTTTACTGTAGAAGTCCCACTCAACCTTTTCACCCACAATTACTTTTTCTCTTGGTCCCAAGGAAATTGTTAGCTGGTCTGTAAACTGATACTCTGCCCACAACACAATTCCATTGCATTTCTCACGTCTGTAAATGAACCGTAGATCATTAGAATGAACTTGGATATAATACTTTTACAGATGTAGGGGGTAGATTTTGTGTCCCATAGAGGTTTAAAAATAATGAAATATACAGTACATCTTTTATAACAATTTTTTTTCAAGATCATGATGTTATGTGACATTATTTTCAGTGAATATTTATATCTATAATTTAATTCACAAGAAAATGTGAGATTTCCAAAATTCTCTGAACATATTCATTAGAGGCTGTAAATTCCCTAAAAATATTTTAACGAATTTGCTAAGGGTACAGAGAAGTACAAGTATAGCGAAGTAAATTCACAGGTCCCCAGGACTTCACTATACAGTAATACACGCTTATAGCAAACATGCTTATAATGAATTGACGCTTACAGCAAAGTGATTTTCATTCCCTGTGACTTTATAATATATTGTAAACTCTACAAATATAACAAATTAAATGTTTATAACAAAGCAAAATTGTCCATCCCTGGCACTTCATGTTAAGCGTGTTTTACTGTAATTCAAGACATCATTATAAATGGCAAAAAAAAAGGATAATGAAGAAAGATGCTTTAAATAGCCTTACTGTGAAGTGTCCAGCTTGACAGAGATTTCAGCTGACTGTGAATTGTAGTCCATCCAAGACGGTTCATTAAATTTGAATGACTGAACTGTGATGGGGTCACTACAAGCTTTACAGGGGTACTCCCAGAGGGGCTGGGGTTCTACCTCACTGTCTGAAACCTCAGCAGAGGCCTAAATAAAGGAAAATTATCAAATAAAGTCAGTATGTAAATTTCCTAAATATTATTGTGCAGTGTTGTAAAAAACACATGTCAGACACACAGTAATGTATGCAGCATAGTCTTATATGTGTAAGACACAATTTGAATCACAGTGAATTTAAATGAAGAAATTTAAATACTTGGTACTTTGTATGACTATTGGTGCTCATACAAATAAATACATATATTTTCTTTTGATATTCAAAAATGACTATATTTAAGGAACAGCAATACATGTATATCATAAGATATGTAAATTACATGATAAAGGCCCATTTGATGAGAGCTTTGAAATATAGAATTAAATTCAAAATACCTCAACCATTTCATCAAAAAGCTGTATATTGAACCCTTCACACATTCCTACTGGTGATCTAATCTTCCACAGATCTTGGAAACAGACAGCCATTGCTTTAATTGTTAGTAACCTTGGCAACATCAGTGCTTTATCAGTCAGGAAATTGGATAGCTGCCTGGCAGCATACCAGAAATGAACATGATGCCATGGCAACACAGCTGACTGAAAATATGGGTCTCCTACCACTAAATCAATCTAGGAAAAAAATCACAGTATTTAAAAATAAAATTATATGTACTCAAGTTTTAAATTTTTGCATTAAGGCACAATTAATTTAAAACTTTAGTTCCTCTTCTCCCAGTCTTACAACTTTGTAGAAAATTGATATTTAACAGTGAGGTCTTAAAAATTTGCAAACAAAACTATTTTCTTAACATTTAATAAAAATCTGTTCACATTTATTTTTTTTAAAAAAGATTTCAAATACACAGTACATGTTCCTCCAAGTCCAAGATTTACTATAAGTGTAAGCATTCATACACAGATGATCCCCACCTTGCAATCTTCTAGATCCTCCTCTGTGATTCCCTCAGGCTCTTTACTTAGAACAGTGACCTTGTCCTCAAGGCCATTGTGCTTTATAAACTGCTGCAGGATCCTTCTTGTTAGATTGTTCGTCTCCAAAGCGAACACCTTCGAGTTTTCGATAAAAGTTAAAACAGAAAATGTCACAAACATTCAAACTATTTAATATTTATATCAGATTACTTCTATGATCCCAAACAAGAGGAATTAAAAGTCTATAAACTCACTTTTTTGGCCCCAAGTCTGGCTGCTATCAATGGTAGAAGGCTTCCATCAGATATAGTCATGATAACTGAGTCAGTTCTTACTTTCTAAAAATAAAATAAAAAAATAAAAAAAAATATTAAAAAACAATAGAAAATCAAAAATATTGTTGGAGTGTTTATTGAATGGCAATACATGTACCTTGTTTCTGAATATTAGAGACTTCCAAAATATTGCTTTTTTTATTTGCTCGTTTTTATTGACATTTTATTAATTTGATTTTTACAAACATACATGTAAATCAATTTCTACCTGTTTAAAAAGGCTGTAGTAGATATCTTGCCGATAAGGATCATTCAACATTCCAATTTGTGACCTACTATAGGTGACATGAATTCCACAGGTACATGCTGGTCCCATATTTAAGTTGCTGTTTCTGAATTTTTTGAGGCATTAATTAGTAACCAATATTTACTATTAGAGTTATTTCAAAATATAAACAACAGATTTTTTTCCAAATTCTTTATCTTATCATAAACTGAACAGCCTTTGCAGGAAACGCAGACACTGATGTTTTATGAGCAGTGATTATTTTTTTTTCTATTGTGTGGTACAATTTTTAATGAAAATAAATTTAAGTACATATTGGTATAAACATATACCTGTTTCCATGCATTAGCATTACATTTATTTGTTATATATACTGTATATATTTTTTGAATTGTTACACTGGTATATACAATGTACATGTTTTTGAAACAAGGTATAGATACTGAGAACTCATACAATAAATCATGACTCCTAAATGATTCTTTTCCTCTTATAATTCAATAAAAATGTAAAGAATAGTTATAACTTGTACAAATTCCTTAAGAACATTAAACCCCAATTTATAAGGTACCTGTTGTTGGACTGCACATTAAACCACAAACTGTATTCATCATGGTTGCTTATGACCTTCACATTTTCACCTTTCTGCACTGAAAGAGGTTGATTTGGGTAGTAGATGGCCTGCATCCAATGGTCCCTCCACTGATAAAAAAGAGAAGCAAAATTTAACCAAAGTTAATTTTAGTCATTTACAAATCAGTTAACATTTGTCAATATGATGAATCATTTTATCAAAACTGGCATTTTATAAAACCAAATAATTCTATTTAGGTATGTACATTTGATTTTATATTACTATAGTATAACTGTGTCATCATAAGCTGCATAAAATCAAACATTGCATGCCTGTAATTCCTCAGGCCTTGGGTGAGCCCAACCAGGAGCACAGCTCAAGTTAATTGTGTTCTTGGTATCCATTTCTAGGTCCCACCACATAAAAACCCCATCTGTCTGCCCTTCATGTAATGCCTCAAACGTCTTTTCAGACTGGTTTTCGAATTTAAGAGGAGAGTTTCCACTAAAATCAAATCTAAGGAGAAATTTGATAAAAATAATTTCAATAGAATTCTTTGTTCCATTTTGAATATCTTTTTAGGAGAAAAACTTATTATACTGGTAAGTGGAAATATGAAAACTTTTATTTTAAAAAAGGGAGACAACTCAGATAAAATGCACTACCTAATTTCAAATGATACTTTGTACTTTAAAAGAAGCTTTCACCATTTCTGCTCCTTTATTAAATAATTTCTCCACACCTGAAAACCTTGATGGGTGAAGAAAGGACTTGGAAGAGGGATTGTGGGAGTTCATGAAGTTGAAGGTCATGGAGAGCAGGTGCTCCCCCACAGCTGGTCATCTCAGAAGGGGGGAGAATGTCCTCACAACCTGGTATCTTTATGGGTCTAATGTCCCTCCATCGCCGTATAAAGTCTGAGCTGACCACCTGCACATACATGTTGGCAGCAGTTGGGACAACTATACAATTCTTCTGCAAAAAAAAAAAAAAGTAAAAGTATAGAGTTCTTGTGTTTTACAAATACATTTACTGAATTTCCCAACTTAATGTTCAAGACATTTCTATGTGTCCCACCTTAAGAAGTTCTCTATGTGCATGAGTAAATGTGTTGATGGCTCCTTCTCCGATCAGCTCAGTATCAAACACTTCTGTAACCAATATATTGGCCCTCTCTGGCATGTCTCCATCTATAATACACTACTTTTCAATTCATTCTTTAAAAGTTTCTTTGTTTAATTTTCATGATGCTCTTTGCATGAAAAAATGTGAGAAAACTTGAAACTGTGCATGTATCCTTCAAAATGTTAAATCTGCTTTCCTTCCTTTGTAACATATTTAAGGAGGCTGGGGGGTCAACAAATTAACCATCAAATATAACTTAATTTTTTAGATATGATATCTTAAGCTGTCAACTATCATTTGGTAAAGAAAAATTTCACACATTTTAGTTTTAGAATTTGATCATTCTTGTATTATAATATCTTTATATGCAGCTCTTCTTCTAAAGGAGATCAATATAGTCTGAAAATGGCCACAACCCCCCAGCCCTCTTAATGTATAAGTAATGTACATAAATATGCTATTGGTTTTTTTTTTTTTTTTTATACCTGAACCAACTGTGACATCTGTTGATCGCTTTGGAATTAATCTGATCTTATTTTCGTATCCATTCTGCTGAATGATCTTCTTGGCACATTTTGCCATGGGTTCAAATGCCTAGTATAAAAATCAACATTTAAGTCCTGCAATTTTACAATAAAGGCTAGTTGAAAACCAGTTCTTTCAATGAAAGTACCTCACAGGCAGTGACAGAGTCAGCTCCTAGCTTAGCTGCCATCATGGACAGAAGACCAGTACCAGTACCGATATCTAGTACATTAACTGGTTCTCCAAGCTGTCTTTTTATTTGGATAGCCTCCTCTAATGCAGCATAGTATTTTTTGTTCTACAAAATAAAATTATATGTAAATTTCATCACTGCATGAGTGAAACCAACAGCTCAAGAACAATGGATAAATTGGTTCTGACTCCCAAATCTTTCTACCCTCCTCCTCTCTTCCCAAATTTTTAAAGGCTATCCCATCGCTTCTACATGCATCCTTTCCCAGTGTTGTTGTGTTGTCAATTATGAGATTCAAAAATTCGATCAATATACTTTAAGCAGTCTAGACGAACTCCAACAAGGGCATGAACTCCAAAAAAGAAGTCTTTAGCTCCATCATGCATTGCGGCAAAATGGCGTCTGATGTAAACAAACAATGGATAGTCATTTGCTTTCTTCAAATATACGAGCGCTAAATGGCTGTATTTTGTACATTGTGTCTTTATTTTAATTTTTGTTGAATGAATAATTAAACTTATTAAATTATATAGTGGATATTGACTTATTTATCGCTTCCAACTCTTGCATTATATAGTGTTTTTGGATATACGACATTGAATTCAATACTGCTGGTAAGAATTAATTTTTTAATTAATACATTGTCTCCTTGATTTAAAATGTATGTTGTTCCTACATTAAAGATGCCTAAATTTTATTTTGAAGACACCCAAATTGTATTTATTTAATCAGAAAATGCACAGTTTTCACCAAGGAGCAGAGATATTAACAGTTTCATTTTTAGAAGACCTGTTGTGACATTAATTTATTAAAAGAGTGATTTTTAAGTTTTCAAAATGATAGATAATGGTTTAAAAATGTTTTCATGATAATATCTGTTTGTATTTGATAAAAAAATTCGGTAAATAACGATGGTGAGAACTCACGCTTTCAATTCAGATGTCGAACACAATTAAAATACCAAAATAATGATATATGTGTAAAATGTGTAAAAGTTTTTAACAGATACAATATATATTGTTCCATTTTAAATATATTTCCCCTTTTTTTGGCATAATTAATTCTCAAAAGTATAATTTTCTCACATAATTGATCTGACTTGAAACATCAACTTTGAAAGTAAATATCTCTTTATTTGCAAAGAGAATCTAAAATCTGACAAATACAATCTCTTTTGAAGCCTTTTATTTAGCATTTCTGAGTAGTGGTATAATTGCCATGCTTTCCAAATCTTTGCACAGACAATTTTGTAGACCCATCATTTTTGCTGAAAAATCGCCATGTTTTGTGCATCTGCGCATGCGCTTACTTACTTCCGGAAATGCTGTTTTTGGAGTTCATCTAGACTGTTAAGTTTGTGAATCTCAGACTCCTCTACTCCATCCCTATTTTTTAAAATTTTTTTTCAGTCTTTTTTTTTTAATTCTGATAAACAGTTAAAATTTAAAATAATCTAGTTTAAGTTGGAAAACATTGTTCAATGTGATTTAACCCTGGGGAACTGAGATTCACGCATGCTTAGCAAAAACTTTGCAGTCAACACATTAAGCTGATCACAAGGAAATGAAATGAGCCCAAGGCTTAAAAGTTCAAAATGAAAAGAGTTCTCATACCCTTTCTGTATCGTGGAGCATATCAGCATATCCAGACCTTATTAAAAAAATATATATATTATTAGCTCTAGATATCATCTGTATGTGTAGTCATGATCATCTCATTAACCACCAAACAGCAGCTAACTACACATACCGAATCCACATATAAATGACACAATGTAATTAAAGTGTTAGGATCTATATAAAATACCGAAAAAGATTTTTTTTATCGGGATGAACGCCGCAAATTCTGACCTTGCAATTTCTTGGTGGTAATCATACTGGTCGTCTTGTAATTTCCAATCCACTTTGCCTGTGCAAGGATTGACAATGGAGACAAAGGTGCTCATTTTCCTCCTTATAATGCTACCAGTAGTAAACAACAATTTTGATCGATGATAAAAGAGCATTTGTTATCACTCATTACGGCTAATTTACTTGATTACTGCAAATAATGCCGTCTTCATCACAGGAGTTCGCAATTTTATCAATAAAGTCAATAAAAATCACTCGATTGACCAAGCCATGAGCTATGCGTTAGCATAGCGAACAGGAATGCAACGCGTTTTTGGAGAAATCGACCAATTTGCTTTTACCCACCGCTTATTCAATACAGCTCGTCAGCATTCGTGTCAAACAACATTTCTCTACTAAAATTTGCTTTCTAACCCTTCTCGAATGCTGTCAATACCCACTTTCTTCGATTTCGCGTAAACAGTCGTTTTACCGAGAAGCCATTACGTGACGTCACATCAAACCCGAACCCGATAAATAATTATTAAATAAAAAAAAGATAGAGAATAAACTTTAAATTATATCCTGTTGCTTTAAATTATCACCAACTTACCAAAGTGTATCAGCAAAGTTGTTGGACACGACGAATTTCTTTTTACTTACTCAATATTTCAATTTGCGCGCACATGCAACTGAAATTATCGCCCTTTGTTTTTGAACAACTCGACATGGTTTCTCGCCATAAAAAAATAATCGGGGGATATTAAGTATTATGATTTATTCAACTTATTTATAAAATAAAATATGTACAATAATTGACAACGTATTTATTATTTTTTTATTTAAAACAATCGAAATAATTATTTGTCGGGTTCGGCTTTGATGTGACGTCACGCAATGGCTTCTCGGTAAAACGAATGTTTACGCGAAATCGAAGAAAGTGGGTATTGATAGCATTCGAGAAGGATTAGAAAGCAAATTTTATTAGAGAAATGTTGTTTGATACGAATGCTGACGAGCTGTATTGAATAAGCGGTGGGTAAAAGCAAATTAGTCGATTTCTCCAAAAATGCGTTGCATTCCTGTTCGCTATGCTAACGCATAGCTCATGGCTTGGTCAATCGAGTGATTTTTATTGACTTTATTGATAAAATTGCGAACTCCTATGTCTTCATGTTAAACATGGGCGCAGCCATTATGAACCCTGACCTACGGAGTAATCATTGAAGCACGCCTACAGTTAACTGCTAAAACGTGTATTGCTTGATTTGTATTGTTCTTTGTCATACTAATTTTAATTATTTTAAACTCCTTATATATTTCTTTCATGGTTGATCAAAGAGATGGTGTTTCTGTTTGCTCTATCACTGATGAATCATGAAATATTTATCTATGAATTTCTGTGAAATAATTACGCCTCCCGGAACATCTCTCTAGGGACAGTGTCAAACTATTAGGATCGGACACAAGTTCAGGGGAGCATCCAAAAAAAAAAAAAAAAAAAAAAGAAAGAAAGAAAAAGAAAAAACAACAACAACAAAAAAGAATAACAAAATAATAAAAAAGAAACAGTTTCATCATTCAGAGGATAATTATAGTTTTAGTTTTTTTAAACAAATGTTGTTTCTCGGTAAATGGGATTCAAGTAATTTACAATTGTTCTATTCATTGACATGTCGATCTTTTCCTGATTATCGTAATTATTTCATATTTGTTTGTTCTGGGCTCTAAATTAGAAAACAAAGTATTCTGTTTTGTTAGATAAAAGTTGGTACAGGTGATATGATATGATATATATATATATATATATATATATATATATATATATATATATATATATATATATATATATATATATACATCTGTTTTAGAACAAATGTATTTTTAAACAACGATAAGTGATATGATGTCTTAAAGTGCATAATGGTTTTGAGATCATCCCTAAAATTTCTCACCTCTTTCACTTCCTTTTATGGTATTCTACAGGTAAACACGTTTATACGCCCACTAAGCCGGTGTCACATTTTTATAGAAAGATGGCCAAGATAGACAAACAAGCGATTCGTGACGCTTATGAAGAGGTCCGAAACGATGGCACTGATACTAATTGGTAAGTCAGTTATTTTACTTAAAATACTTCATTTCAAATTTCTTACAATTCAACAATTGTAATATTCATTTTACCGGATTAAAATGATCACATTGAAAACAGGCGATGAGCCGATGACTAAGTGATTAGTCTAGTAAAGCACCGAAGGTGTTGAAATGAACGTTGAATTCCTTTAAAAAAATAATTTTAAAACACATTTGGTTTTGAAAAAATATAATTATTTTTTCCTAGGGCCGTAATGAAGTATGATGGGTCAGATATTGTATTGAGCGCCACTGGGTCTAGTTTTGAAGATTTTGCGTCCAATTTTAGCGGTAAGTAAAATAAAAAATCACTAAAATACAATGCCATATATAAAAATATAACATCTTAATTTGCAGTCCCTATATAAATGTGTGATGGTTGCAAATGTCACTATCGTTGAAAATTTAGTAGAACAAATACAACACTCCTGTCTTTATCTTCATTATACGTACGACGTTCTTATTGCTCAAGTACTATATATATTTCTCATTTGTTCTTTTTCTCTATTAAATCAAATATAGAATGATGATCTCGAGCACTTTGACGCAACAGTGGAAATTAATGAATGGTTAAGGGTCTGTTAATGTTAACCAACGATTATAAATTAAGAATTTACCAAAATTCCCATTTATATACATACATATTTTTTTTCACAGATGACGACCGAGTATATGCTTTCCTACGTGTGGTAGCAGGTGATGAACTTAGCAAAAGGGCAAAATTTGCCTTAATTGTATGGCTGGGTAAAAATGTGTCTGGAATAAAAAGAGCGAGAATGGGTCCTGACAAGTCAGTAGTCAAAGAAGTTATACGTGTACGTAATCTACACGTTATATAATTTTATAATCTTAGAATCGTTTCACTTTAAGATATGACATTTTAAAATGTTCTTGACATATATGTTTATATCTGCTATTTCGCGTCGAGAGATGTCTAACACCAGTATGGTGTACATTATTGTACAATATACTAGTATTCCATTATGATACGTAAATGTACAATTTTACACTTTTTCATTACAGAGTTACGCCGTAGAACTAATGATTAACGAGAAATCAGAACTAAATGAAGACTTGATTAGAAAAGAAATAATGAAGGCTGGTGGTGCTAATTATGGAACAGGAACTCGTGATTGACATCTCAGGACTCTAGTTTCAACAGACGAAAAGAACAGGAAGAAAATGGATGGTGTATTCAGCCTGTCTCATATTTTAATGATATTTATATACACCTGTATACCGTTTTTACTTTATTTTAAGGGACAGAACAAGTGATATTCTTTTTATTTAGAACCAACTAGATATTTCTTACTAGTGTCAACGAAATTAATCGTTTGATCGATCTTATTGGACAATATACATGTTTACATTTTCAGTATTTTTTTACTGATGTTTTGAAGGACAAATAAAAGTTACATGTACATGATCACTAAAAGTTAAATTTCTTAAAATATATACTGTTTAAAAAAAAGAAACACACAGTAAGAATTGTATGTTATAGTTGTAATATGGTTTTATTTTATCCGAAAATAATTCTTTGAGTGTAATTTTTAACTTTTAACGCTTTGTTAACTGGACTGCTTTTCTACAGAACTTACGGACAATCGAACCTGCTTTGTAAAATGCTAATTTTCGGTTATTGTAACAGTTATAACTTTTGCTGGTTTCCAATTCAAATACCAGGAGTTTATCAAAAGCCAGGGTTTTTCGATTTTGTTATCTTAAAATGTGGACGATATTTAAGAAATGTCGCTTCTGAATGATGTACAACGCAAGAACACATGAGCGACTTAAAGCAGGTGTACAACAGGCTACAGTTGCAATAGGTTTAATGTTGCACAAAGCACCAAACCTCGCCTATAAAAAAGATAGCAACAGCATGGTGCAACAAATGATTGCCAACCATCTGGCAGATCAACATCACAGGATCTCTGTTTTGGTAATCCTCACCAACGTTCCACAACAACGTCGTCTACAGCATTAGCTATCCCTAGGTTGCGCAGAATATCAGAACGGACCGTTTGCAATCGATTACGGTATGATTGAATAAGAGGCGAAGACCTAAGACCTATTCATGGCGTATAATCCGCCAAAATCGACGTCAGACTCGGTTCAGAGCTAGGTCTCAGACCAACAGAGTCAGATCAGAGAAACACTGGTGTACAGTTTGGTTTAGCTACGAATCCATTTATTTTTATTGCAGAACTGACGGAAGTCAGAGAGTATAAAGGCTTTAAGGTTCGTAATGAACGAAGTCAGAGTGTAACAGAGACTTTGTAATGAACGAAATCAGAGTGTAAAGGCTTCGTAATGAACGTTTGTAGAAAACTGCATTCGGTAGGTTTATAGAATTGGTAATGGTGTATTATGAAGTGGACAATACTTGTAGTATTCTTTACTGACAGGACTGATGCGGATCATATTCAAGGGACTTTGACGGCTCAGAGGTACATTGAGTGCATGAATCCTACCTCAATATGTTTTTTTTCCAACAATGCAGTATTCTGGGGTCGTATTTCAACATGACAATGCAAGGTCACAAACAGCTCGTTTTAAAAGAGCATTCTTGCAAAGCTACAACATCCAGTTCTCCTTTATAAAATTATACTATGCGGGGTTGTTCTTTTTTTTTGGGGGGGGGGGGTCTATAAATATTGTTAGCTTCAAGAAATACCAGCTTACTACAACAATCTATCTAACATGTCTAAAGTATAGTAAAATATAGTCGTGATAAAAAATGGTGTCATCACCAAAATAATTACGTTTATTGACAGTATGCTACATTTGCAAGCAGTCCATCAAGGAAAGGAAGTGCAAATAACAGAAGATGATAAAAAGAAATGTCGAAAAAGGAAATAAGTAAGATTCTTTCACATATTCTAAAAGTTGTTTCAGTTTTTCGTCTTTGTGGAATCTACACTGTCTTTTTCAGTATCCGATTTTATTATTCTGGCATCTTGGGGAACAAGATTAGGTATACCGTTGATAATCGGATATGCAATCCCACTATCATCACAAATCAACTCGTTCTTTTCCTTGTCATATCTGTGGGGGAGAAAATCAAATTAACAATAAAACTTACAATGTATATATGTAATACAACCTTGTGCAATTCTTAACGCATTCTATATAAATCGCTTATTAAAGTAACCATACAAGATGACATAGGGCCGTCGTCAGGTTTCTGGAAAGGGGGGGGGGAGGATGTGAGAGGTGGTCTCCCTCCTCTGTACTAGAATTTTTTTTATATAAATGGGACCATTTTTGTGGGCTCTGGTGCTTTCATGAAATAATTCTTTCATATATCAAATAAACGAAATCTAATAGTTACTTAAGTAGATGTATAATAAATTTATTTCGTTCCAAACATATTTTTTGTTTGTTTGCTTTACCCCCCCCCCCCCCCCCCCACTTCCGACGGCCTTGTGACTAGTGAATTAATTATTCTTTAATGGTATCAAAGCAGACAAAAATACTGTACAATATTTTATTTATATGTAAAATCTGTTTAAGCATGTATATAGCAATTTACCTTAACGGCTTTCTGGAGACTGGACACACAAGAATTTTAAGAATGCTTTCATCAAATGAGTTGGTAACACTACATGATGTGGAAAACCTTTGAAGAGTTGAGTGATTCAAAATACTTCTACCTGTTCGAGTGTAAAATGTCATTCTCTAAAAATTCTCATATGATCACAAATCTGTTTTCCCAAAGTATATTTTCGTATTTTCTTAGATGCAATTAAAAAAAAAATAAATATAATTGCCAAATATTTGATATAGCTTAGTATTCCTTTTTTTTTTTTTTGGTTTTGTTTTATTTTCCTTTCTTACTTCCTTGATTAGAAGCAATAATAAATTATTACTATTATCCAAGTAGCCCCCTAAGTCATTATGCCCCCGTATCGAAGATTCGGGGATATATAGTTTTTGCCCTGTCCGTCCGTCCGTCTGTCTGTCTGTCTGTCCGCAAAAACTTTAACATTGCTCATAACTTTTGATTGGTTGGAGCTATGGCTTTCATATTTCACATGTATAATCCTTGTGACAAGACCTTCCTTTGGATACCAACAACTTTGACCCTTTGACCTTTGAGTTTGACCTACTTTTGAAAAACTTTAACATTGGCCATATCTTTTGAACGGTTGGTGCTAAGGCTTTCATACTTCACATGTGTATTCCTTGTGACAAGACCTTCCTTTGGATAACAACAACTGTGACCCTTTGACCTTGGAGTTTGACCTACTTTTGAAAAACTTTAACCTTGGCCATAACTTGTGAACCGTTGGTGCTAGGGCTTTCATACTTCACATATGTAATCTTTGTGACAAGACCTTCCTTTGGATACCAACAACTTTTACCCTTTACTCTTGACCTTGGAGTTTGACCTACTTTTAGAAAACTTTAACCTTGGCCAAAACTTTTGAACCGTTGGTGCTAGGGCTTTCATACTTCACATATATAATCCTTGTGACAAGACCTTCCATTAAATACCAACAATTGTAATCCATTGACCTTGACCTTTGAGTTTGACCTACTTTTGAAAAACTTAAACCTTGGTCATAACTTTTGAACGATTGGTGCTTCAGCTTTCATATTTCACCAGTATATTTCTTGTGAAAAGGCCTTTCCTTAGGCACCATTAATTTTGACCATTTGACCTTGATGTTTGACTTACTTTTGAAAAACTTTAACCTTTTCCATATCTATTCAATGGTTGCTTCTAGGGCTTTCATATTTCACAGGCATATTACCTTACTTTGGGTACCAACATATTTGATTTGCATTTGAGAAAGTTTAAACTTTGCTATAAGTTGCCAAGCGGGGCATCAGTGTTTCACAAACACATCTTGTTCATACATGTTTATTTTATGATTTTGGAAGATGTACATGTACATGTAGAACACACACACGGGGGATTAGTTTTGAAGTCTAAGAAAACACCAATCTGGCTAAATCCAGGCATACTATTCACTATGTTCGCTCAACGAACCCAGGATAGTGGGAATAAAAGCATAGGAGTCAGCAGTTTTATCCATAAAACAACGTGAACAACAACCAGTGAGCTTCGCGAGCGTAGCGAGAGAAGCTTCGCTCGTTACGCTCGCAAAGCTCACTGGTTGTTGTATGTTTTTTTTTTATGTTGTATGTTGTTTTATGGATAAAACTGCCGACTCTTGTGATCAAACTGGGACGGAGCTTTCCGAGTCTTAGAGACCCCAAATGTGTTCACTGATAGTTGAATTATCTAAATACTATTATAATGTTTCACTGCATAAATATATCAACTGCATTTATCACCTACATGTATGTTAGCGAAAACCTTTTAATGTACTTCATTTCAAATTCAGATCTGAAGGGCTTTCAAAAAAGATTTTACTATGCAGGTTAAACCCATAATTTATAAAAAAAAATAAAAAAAAAAAAATAAATAAATAAATAAATATATATATATATAAAAGAAGGAAATAAATAAAACATAAACTGATAAAGAAAGAAAGAAACAAATAAATACAGAAATAAGTAAAGAAAGAAACAAGTATATAAATACAAAATAATATATAAATAAGTAAAGAAAGAACGAAAGAAAGAGAATTAAATGTATAAGAAAAAGAAACTTTTGGAGAATCTTAAAGCCCGTACAGGTTTCCATACATCATTTGTCCATTTGTAATGACTTCAAGTTCAAGGTGAAATACAAATTATTTACCAATTACCTTAAATTCAAACTATGATAACACAAAAATAGCTTTACAAACACCATAAAATATTATACCTTTTGCAATAAAGGATAAAAGTTGCCTAGAAAACATTCTTTTAGAAGCAATTCTTTTCTCAAATGCACCTCATTTTAGCCTATCCCTCATCTTATTTAACTTCTTTCTTTGAAGAGTTCCAGTAATCAAGTAACGGAGTAGGGACTGTACTGTTAGTGTTACACTGTAAGTGAGTTTTAAATTAAATTTAAAATGCCTGTGATAGTATATTTTCGTTAAAGTGTATTTACAATGGAACTTTGCTCATTTTCAAAATTATAATCGACAACCCAAGGATAAAGCTTCTCATGTTTTTAAACAATTAAAGGCACGTTCAGAACTGCACATGTTGTATTCTCTTTTGAGAAGTGGACAGGTTGGATGTAGGCGAAAGCCTGTCCACTTCTCTAAAGAGAACATGGCGAAAGGCTGTCCACTTCTTTAAAGAGAATAGTACAAGTGATGAAAATACCACAGGCAGTTTTATCAAAAAAGTGAAAACAAATGAGAAACAGAAACTTTGCTTATAGTTGTAGATGTACTCACCATTAGAGGAAAAAGTGTGCGAAGAGGCTAGAGCCTTTGGGTTAAAGGTAATTATGTTTATTCTTTTCAAACTAGTGATATAATTCAATTCAAATATGTTTGGTAAAGTAATTTGAAAAGATATATTTAGCGTGGTGGCTTTCTTCTTTGCAGGCAGTAAAAGATGATTTTGTGAGTAACTTTTTAAAAGCCAACCTTCCAAGGAAACGGTTACGGAAAGGGGAATTGGAAAATATAGAACACTTCAGACAGAATTTGGACAATAAACGCCCCAAGAAAAAGTCATTTCCAGTGTCAAAGAAAAAGAGCCTTACATCTCGAGAACGACGAAAGTTGAAGTTGTTTGACCTTCCAAAGGAAGGCCAAAAGTAGGAATTTACATGAAGTTGATTTATTTTCTTGTCCTTTAGAAATACAATATTGAAAAATTTGTTTCCAGATGGAAAAGTCTGTGCTACTAGTAGGTAACTTATTGTAATGTGAACATTATTATCTTCATCAGTTTTTGATTTTGACAAACGGTAATGCCTTGGTTTATACTAAAAATATATAGATTTTTTGGAAATTCTTTCAAAATGCTATTTCTCCAGTTTTTGTCAATGATGAAGGAGAAGTAGAAATGTGTCTGTTTTGTATTGTTGCTGATAAAAATGCCATAGCCTAATTTGATATATTTATATTTTGAAGATTTGAGACTTACCTTCCAATGCATGAGCTGTGGAAAGATTACATGAGGCAAACACTAGGCCTAGCAGATAAAAGCAAGTAAGAATGTGAAATTGTACATGATTAAAATATGCATTATGTTTGATTCCAAGTATATTTATGATTTTTTTAAGGATGGACATTTCATGAATTATCATGGACTACATTACATGCACATCAAGAGAATCATTTTACAAAAAACATGCAATTACCCATTTATAAACATACGCATATCTTCACATCACTTTTTTCTCTTTTAATTTAATTCTAGAGTGAAGAAAAAATTACAACAATTTAATCAACAATTTATATACATGTATTTATTGAGAGGAAGATGAAATGTGAAAAATGACATCTCTCTCTATGGTAGCCACTAGATCTTGGTAATATGTGGTACCTGCATGTTTTATTTTCTTTTTCAGATCCTTTGTTCAGCACAACTGTGAAAGCATATTAAAAGCAGACTTTCATGGGTGTTTTTTAACTGTATCAAAATCCTGCTGTCCTTCCTACATTGGTGCTACTGGTATTGTTATTATGGAAACAAAGAATACCTTTAAAATTATCACTAAACAGAATCATGTTAAATGTAAGTGCATTTACTTTACAGAAAAGTTACATAAGTGAATTTTTTAATATACAGTTGAACTTCAATATCTCGAACTTTGATATCTCAAGTGCCATGGATATGTTGAAGTGATTTTCATGTCCCAACCACCTTTTCTTAATTTTTTTAAACTTAATATCTTAAGCCCTTGGATACTGTATGTGTACTTAAAAAAGCGGATTTCATATTTTAGCGGCTTTGGCGCAGACAACGATGTGCTAATTCAGGAATACCACTAAGAAATTATTTATAAATATAAAATACGGCACGGACATGTATAGCGCTAATTCATGATTTCACCAACAACTCCATACCCAGTGATTGCGCTAAATTTTGAAAATGCCAATTTATGTACACGTACAGTATCTCAAAGTTTTTTATCGGTCCCATAGGATTGGAGATAATGAAATTTGACTGTATGTTTAATATATTTCTAGCATTATGAAACCTTTGGTAAACATGAATTTTAATGTTCGAAACTTGCTAGAGTTGTGATTTTCTTGTTTCATTATAATTTTAGGCATTCCAAAGAGAAACAGTGTTTTCATGTTTGAAATTGATGGACATTATATAACCCTGTACGGAAACAATTTCTGTTGCCACCCAGTACTGAGATCAACATATAAATTTAAACCAAAAAAATATGTTGCAATATAAATAAATCTTTCAAAAGTTAATTCACTATTTTTATTCAGACAATGTTCAGATGATCCATTGTAGTTGATGTCCAGCAGAAAGACAACCAAGACCAGTACTCTGTTACAAACCTTTATGTCCAATTATTACATTTTAATCAATATTTTGGGTTTTCAATAGGTACAATGTTCATAAATTTGTGTTACACCAAACTTGTAAAAAAAAACTGAAAATGAATTTTTATTGGTGAAACTTGACATATGGGGGTATGTTAAAAGAGGAGGGCAGGCCCCAAGATGATAAACTGACTCATGTCAAAATTTTGATTCTGAGAATCTTTTTTTTTTATATTGTACATATGTGTGAAAAAAAACTTGCACATTTGTATTATATCAAAAATTACACCCAATAAAAAAAATTCTTTGAGTATCAAATTATTTCAAAAGTTTGTATTGATTTGAAATTTTGACTTAAGTTCATTTTCACTTTACAGTCTTGGGGCCAGGAAGTATATGTAGAAGAAGTGAATGATGAAGGGATATACTGGTAAAAAAGAAGATAAGAAATTCATGGGTTAGATAGGAAGGGTGAGGAAATAATTGGATAACAACAAGCCTGGCAAATCTACTAATTTTCTTAGCTTAGATCCAGACTATCATTTTCTACCATTAGCTCATACATTCACCTTTGTCGCTGGCTCACATATATCACAGTGATGAGTCACTGTAATTAAATTCCTGCACTGTTGTTTGTCTTTTATGGTAGATATTTACTAAGTAGATCTAGAACTATTAGTTTAATTTGATATAATCTTTGGAATATCGTGTTTTACCTTAACATGTCAAAAATTTTGATGCGAGCCCATTGCAGAGGTGTCTGAGAGAGGAAAGAACGACAACTCTGCAAGGGAGATTGCCAGACTGTATGTACTCATTGGGGGGGGGGGGGGGGAGAGATAATTTTTTTCATGATGACTCTGAATTCTAATAAAGTTACTTAGGGTCACAGGGACACATTTGTGAAGGATACTGTGCATGACTGAAGCATATTTCTTGTAGAAACTGTCAAAAATTTTTGGTAGATATCAAAAAAGACCTCAAAATGCTGTTTACTATGATGACATTTTTTTTATTTTCCTATAAAAATGAATAAAAACGTATCAAAATTTGTAATTTGTATAAAGTAAATACAAGCTTATTGTTTCAATAAATAACATACATGTATGTCAGAACTTTGCAGTCACAGGGACTTTGTTTTTATCTAAGAAGTAAATTGTAATAATGTACATGACATCCCTATATAGGCAAATGCATTTTATTTTTTATTCTACTGGGATAATGAATTCAATTATCTTTATTGTTCTAATATTAACACATTCATATAAAATTCATAAAAATATTCTAGGATGATTTTAATTTGGAATCTTTTTCTTCTTTACACTTCCGTATGATGCGGTCAAAATGGAACAAGTAGAACTGGCAAACGAAACGGAAGATCCCCATTGCAAATACCTAAATAACAAAAAAGTAGAAGCTCTATATATAGTTATTTGGGAATTCCACATTTCAAAAGCAGACACAAAAAGCCTCAGCAGAAATGATTCAAAATTTCTGAAACATCGATCTACAGTGGACTTGCTAAACACATTAAAGAATGTCATTTAAAATGAAATATTTAAGAAAACATAGGAAAATCTTGGAATCTATCAGATAGAAAAAAGAAATGAGCAATGTGAATTGATGATGAAAATATGTTGTACCTGTTGAAGTAAATCCACAACCGAGGTAGCAGGAGACATTCCACTGGACAGGTTGCTTAGCAACCAACCATCCATACCTACATAACTCAGGAACCTTCCATTCTGTACAAATAACAGAAGTTGTAGACTTATACATGTACTTTTTCTAACAATATCAAGCAATGTAGATACAACAATATCAACCAGTGTATCTTAAAAAAAAATTCCATATCTCTCTCTTTCTTTACAGTATCAAAGGATGTACAGGTATATGTAAATAAATACATGTACTATTTAAAACTCTTAATTTATAGCTATTTGATGAGTAATACAGACCAAGGCATCCCTAAAGACTGATTTGGCCACATAACTGGGTGAGAAAAGACCTACAGTGTCTGAGATGAGTAAGGTTTCTTTGGGCTTCAATTAAAAAAAAAGATTGTTAAGAACTATTAATGGAAATAACATTGATAAAAACATTTTCTTTTACTGCTTAGCATCCATAATACCTCTTTGGTAAATTTCTACACTATGAAGAACTCATTCAGATTTATGTCCAGTTATTTTCTTTAAGAAAGTTGATAAAGAAATCTGCAAGATGATGACAAAGTTAGGTGTTAACCTTTGACTTGTTTTCCTCCGCTAGACCTGGTGTATCTGTGTCCGGAGGGAATGCCATAGTGATGTAGATATTGTATGGCTTTACCTGTACCAAGATTATTAAACTATGTATATAAAATTGAAAAAAAAAAATTTGTAATTTCATGTTCCAATCACAGTTAGAACAGTGTTTTCCCTTTATTTCAAAGTAAAGGTTTTGCGATCATTTGCAAAAGGGTAGGGGTTGAGGTTTGTGAATAAAATCTCTGTAGACCTTATAACAGTTATGTTTTAAATTTTGATTTCTAAGTGGCATTTATATCAATTGAAGTAGTCTATTTGGCCGATAGCTGGTTCTTAGGGAAAACACTGCAGAAAGAAATGAAAATGGCCATTATATATAAACCATGATAATGCTTCTCAGTTTATACTTTTGTATCTTACAAAGAGTCTAGTGAAGAAGCAATATTAAAGTGAACATTCAAACACTGATGTACTTCTTGCATTTACCTCCATTTGGAGAGATTCTGCAAATCCCCTTAGAGCAAACTTTGATGCAGAATATGCAGTGTATCCAAACACACCCACTTGTCCTGCCTGAGAAGAAATAAACACTATCCTCCCTTCATTGTTTTCTTTCATGCCTTTAATGGCAGCCTTGGTGACATTCACGCTTCCCAGGAAATTCAAATCTATCATGCGCTGAAAAAAAAATCATGAAGTAAAAAGATGTTACTTTTTTAAAGTTTTATGTACCAGGTGTATTTAGTGGCACCCCCCTCCCCTAAAAATTAGTATATCAATACACTGTACGATGGGTTTCAAATATTTTTTTCTCATTCAAGGCAGAGGATCAAATGAGCTTATCAAAGTTTTCACATCAATTGTCTGTCTTTCTATAAATTGTCCACTGCTTATTGTCATTAACTTTTCTTATTCATTCCTATAAAACCCCAGCCCATGTCAATTTCAATCGTTTCTGGTTCATCTACAAAGCATCTTTCAATAAAGGGTATTCATGTTTGCTGAAATGAAGGGCATGACCCTTTTCCAGTGAGCTAGCTATAATTCAGAATAAACAAAAATAAGGATGGATTGCTGGAAAAATACTTATTTATTGGATCAAAAGACAAACATTCCAAGAATGTTTTATTATACAAAGTAGATTGGTATTTGTTTAAGTCTTGATCTACAGTCCATGGAAATCTTTTTTTCTTTCCCTTCACTGCTTGTAAGTTTATTTTAAAATATCTTAATTGAATTTTTTGATGGTTTTTTTTTTTAAATTTCTTGAATTGTGCTTTTGCCATCTGAAACAATCAGTGGAAGGATACCTGAAATTGCTCTATGGATGTTTCTTCAAATCTTCCAGCTATAGCACTCCCTGCATTGTTGATAAGAATGGTGATAGGTCCCAGATCCTTCTCTGCCTTCAAAAAGTGATTCAATGGGATTAAAATTATGTGATCATGTTTTTCCACATCAATCTGGTTAAAATCAACTGTTTGTTTACCCTTTACTATGCTTTGTCTGTAGCATAATGTTCAGTAAATGAAGTTAAACAAACAGCTCATTTTAATCAGATTGGCTTCCACATAAGAACACTATAAATTTACAATTAATCAGTCTATTTTAAATGGTAGATTAAACCTGTCTATTTGTTTATGCAGACAAGGATTAGCAATTCTATGGTTACTTAACGAGGTTCGCTCCTGAGCTTTTGAGCAGATTCTTATCTTAACCTATATTTCAAAAAATTCTGCATAATGTTTTAATACTTACAATATATTTGGATTCTACAATGCCAATTTAACTATATTCAGTTAAAACTCCATGATTAAATTCCATACCAAAAGCATTAAGTGAGGAACTATATTTTGTGGCGGAAGGTTTTTTGGAAGAAAATGATCATTTTTTTCTCTTTCGAAGTATTTAAAGTATGTTAAGTTTGAATTCCTATTTTTACATGCAGTCTGCACATATAGTTATTTTGTGCAGTGGACTGTTTTATACTGCTCCTAAATTATGTATTAAATAAACTGTCATGAATTCTATCATCATATTTGATAAATATAGCAAATATATTGTGGAAATGAAGAAAAAAATAGCCCTAATTTAAGCTTAAAATTAACACTGTTTTAGTAATATCTAAAAATTAACATCACATACCCCCACTTTAAATTTTCTTTTCTGAATATATACGATACTTTTAATCATTCTTCTTAAATTCTGTAAAATGTCATTACTTTCAAATGATTTTTCCGCTTGTTAAATTTTAATGCCAGAAAAATGAAAATGTTTGAGTGCAAAAAGGTCAAATAATTGAACATGCGGAGTAATTCGAAAATTTCTTCGTTGTTACAAATTTTAATGTGTCTATTTAAGATGAAATAAGACTGTGTTTGTTCACCATAATTTATTTGAACAAAAAATATTGAAGGAAAAACTTTCAAAATTGATTTCTGTGTAAGACGTATTTACAGTGCAAAAAGGTCAAACTAAATGCTCTGTAGCGCCAAAAGAAGCGCATTGACCCCCATTTTTTGTTTTGATTTTTAATAAAGCCATGTGTATAAATTCTAAAAATATACTTGATAAAAAATTCTCATTACTTTTGATGGCAGGATCCAACCTCCTTAAGAAAAAGATAATAGAAATTCAAAGCATATCAAATTGTAATGTAAGGGAGGTAATTTGTGATACAGTTCATACATGTGATTTGTACAGGCTGCACACAAAATGTCACATATTTTTTACCCCATTCACCGGCTCATGGTGGTACACCAAAATTCACGGAAAATGAAAATTTGTGCCATATTTTGATTAATTTCATGTAATTACATGAGATGGTCTGCTGAAAAAAAATCCTTTTCGCATATATTTTTATATAATATATACAGCAATAACCAGCATTCTAGAAATTTTTGTCTCGCTTATAAATACCAAATACCTATCTTGCAAAATAAGGTGTCACGAAAATTTGGTGATCTACAGTATAAAAACAATTTACTAACCTTTTGTACCTAAGTTATCTTACCTTACTCACAGCCTTCTTCACTTTATCTGCATCCTTGGTTATATCCACAGATACTGCAAAGACCTTCTTTAAAAAATAAAAGTAAAATTATAAGAAAGATACAAGTATCATTTCTGGAACTGTCAAATTCATCATCTATTTATTGAAAAAAAATATAAATCACCTGTGAACTTTTATCTTTGATGTGACTTTCTATCTCTTGTTTCGCTTCTTCCAACCTTTTCTGCAAGATATCTCATTCTTGTCAATATAAATTTTTCTTTTAAAATGAGGAGTATTACAGAGTACCTGTTTTCAGTACAACCCTAATATGACAATAAATCCAGATAAATGTTCTTAAGAAATCTTTGTTTTTAATCAATCTTTGTTCAATTGTGGGAGACAAAAATGTACCAAGGTATTTGAAACTCTTTTTCCCTAGGCCTACCCACTAATTTTGCATACTTTACCTCATTTCTGGCAATGATTGTGACATTAGCTCCATGTCTAACTGCTTCAATAGCAAGAGCTTTACCAATACCACTTGAACCACCAGTTATCTACATGAAAATAAAGAATATTAGATTCAAACTAATTATATTAAAATGTATTGAAGCAGAATGGTCATCTGTAGGTACTATAAGTTAATTAAAATGTTAGAGTATGAAATGACCCATATTAGCCTAACAATCCCTTCCCTAAAAAGATTAATTAATCCACGTAACCATGGTAACTGCAGATCTGTAGCCAGAGACGTATATGCGTCCCTGCTATAACTCATTTGAAAAGGATGGAAGACGGTAAAGCTACAGAACTGTATATATATATAGACATGTATTCACATAAGCTGCGGCTTTATGATCATGAGGACGAAATATGAAGCTTACCAGAACATGTTTTCCTTGAATATTAATTCGTTTTGGTGATATAATTTTTGAAATTATAAATATTATGAAGAGCAGAAAGAAAATAAAACAGTAAAGGTACATTGCCAACGTGAAAAGGGAAAGTAAGGTGGTGATAATAACACCGGAAATAAATAAGTGCACACTAAATTTAGATAACCCGGAGAAGAAGAAAAATCCGAGATAAGATTCGAGGAAATGTCTCTGTAAAAATAGTATTAAACTTAATTTTTAATGGATAAATATTAACTTACATTGTTAAAAATTATTGTTGAACAGTAGTGAAATAAAGGAAGCTGTATAATGAAACTATTGAGAGCCTAATGCAAGCTCTTAAGCATTTTCATTTCATATGATTTTTTTTGCATTTTTTCAGAAATAAAAAAAAATTGGTTGCAAACAAGGCACTTCAGAGGTAATTAGCATAATATAGATGTATAATAAAACAGGTCAAGAAGAGTCAGAGAGACATGTAATTTTTTATTTACTAATTAAGATCTAGATCTAATTTGGGCCAATTCCGAATCCGATATCTTCGTTTTAAATTCCCTCAGTGTATTTTCCTAAATTTTTAATGGAAATATGGAATTTAACCTGTACTTGCTATAGAAGAATAGTATTTCGATGAATTAAAAAGAATTACATTTCCGAATATAATTGAATATAATTTCGAGTTTTACTTATTCTGCCCATATATTTTTTGATATCTTTTTCTGGGGATGGAGGGTTCAATTGCAGATGGTTCTATATACATGTACACACAAAGTTTGGTATACCACTTGTAAACCGATTTTTCCCCATATATTTATTTTTTTCTTCTACCAATATCTGCGTTCCTCAAATATCTGTTTTGTATATCTTCATATTATATGGAAAATATTAAAAATTTTAAATACTTTCTGATTTCTAAACTGGTTTCTAATTGTCTTTAAAAAATTGAAACACTAAAAAATGTGATATTGGCAAATTAAGTTTTTTCAAAAAGGATTTTATAGGAAACAACATCATCCGGTATCTTGCACAAATGCCTGGTAAGGTACTTCAATCTTTTGCGAGTAAACATATTAAAGGAGCAATACTTCAATGACAAAATCTTAGAAAAAATTATACAATGTATATTATTGAGGAACGTATCGTCTGTCCTTAAGTCATGAAAATAATTTGTGTTCATTTTAGCTCACTTTTCTTTTTCTTTTCTTTCTTTCTCCTTTTAATACCATGCAGAATCCGATTGTCACAAGCTCGTACCAGTGGCGTAGCTAGGCAAAAATAAAGTGGATGCTTTTATGACTGTAGGGGTTCTGGGGCCGCATGCCCCCACAACAACGGGTCTAGGGAGGGGAGCCTTTAGAAGCTCCGCAGAAATTGGCAATATTAAGAAGTGTCAGACTGGGTTTTACAATGTGCAGTGTGAAGACAATATAAATCTAATCATTTTTTGAATAATGAAACAATCTATTTTTTTAAATACGATCTTTCATCAAATAATTTATTTTTAATTAATTTTTTCATTAAATATTACGTGTGTTATTTTATTTATTTATTTAATAATTCATTTTATGAAAAATAATGGATGCTCTGGCATACAAGCATACGTGGTAGCTACGCCACTGTACACTACGCAGAAATAAAATCTAAAACGAATCGCGTTTCACACCTGTTTCGGGCTTTATGACAATTCCCTCAAAATCACGCTATTTGCTCTTTTCATACTACCTTCACAGTAAACACACAACCGTGGTTTGGTTTTGCATCTGGGTGTTCTTTGTCCTATGAATTTTCAAGAAGGAGGTAGGTTTGCTAAACAAAATGATTAAACGTATTTTAAAAATATTTTTAACTTTAAAGGGGGGGGGGGATGCCACATTTCAGAAATAACGATGAGATATGATATTTTCTGTTTAAAATACAAAAAAATTATATATTTTTTTTACGACATAGAGTTGTGTGTAAAAAAAAAAATTGAAGTTCATTTATACATGAAAATTGTTTCACGTATGAAGTTTAAAAACTAAAGGGATTATTTAATTTATAGGGCTACGTCAAAATGCAAGGAAAAAATATCATTTTTATCCTTGTGGTCCTTCTTTATATGTTCCTGTACAAATCTGATGGTTTGGTCATCAATAAACGTTGGTATTCGCCTGGGCGTACGGACTTTGTGTTGGACAACAAATTCTACACTCTTTTAGGTATAATGTTTTCACATTATGTTGAATAATTTATATAAAGTGTATAATAGGAAAAGGTTATGGTGACGTAATCCTTAAAATCCTAGTAAAAACATTTTAGTGTTATTACATTTTTGCAAATTTTAGCAAGTAGTTCCCCGTGAGTGCAAGATTTTTTTTTATTTCCATGAGTAAAATTCTTGAACAATTCAATACTTACATACACGTTGAATGAAAATGACTATACTCATGTTTCATGAATTTCTTTTCTGAAATAGATACTTTTCTGAGAAACTGAATCATGACATTTTTTAATTATTGCTTCTCTGCATTGCGAAAAAAAAATTATATTATCATAATGTGTTCCTGTTTTTGAAATAAATGTTGATTTCTGAGCCCAGAGTTTTAACATCAGTTTTAAAGCCTGTTTAGTTCATTTATTTATTAAGTATAAAAGGACCTCTATGTTCTAGCCAGCACATTTAAAGTAATTAAAATTTGCGCCAACATCTTATGTGAATTTTTTATTTAATCTAGAAAGGAGAAGTAATTCCAAACTCACAGACCTTAGGAAAGCTCAGCTAACCCTCGTCAGCGAACAAGGCGTCAACAAATACACTGTCAATGGTGACGCAAATGACGCAGCGATGATCTTTTTTAGCTTGAAGCCGACAAGCGTAACTTATGTGAGTGTTTTTTTTTTCTTCTTTGGTGTATTTTTGTAGAAATCTTGTAGAAGAAATGTAAATTTATATTCTTGCATTTTCTGAATTCCCTTTAATTGGAAAAAACCAGGGTGCGACGAAAACTTGGATGAAGTGGAGATTTATCTGAAAATTAAGTTTGTGACCTTCTTGCAAGGAATAAAGATAACATTTATTCCTTCCTAATTGAACAGATACATAAACAATTTTAGAGGAAAGAAACTGATAGCGATTATGAATTTAACTAATTTATTCCTCTCACAAATAATTAATTTTGCCTAATTTGAACTTTTAGCAAATATTTATTGCTTCTTTCCAATAGAAAGTTCCATCTAAATATCGGTGTGGTCGGAGTCGCTGCAGCAGGTGGAGATACAGAGGAAGGAAGAGATATTACAAGCGGAAGTCCGTATACAGAACGAGGCGGGGACGTAAAATGAGGAAATGGGTTCGAAGGTATGGTGGTCAAAAAGTAAGAAAATATAATAAGAGGAAGATCGTACGAAAATCAAGAAAAAACAGAAAATTGAGACGAAAATTCAGAAAATATGGTTATGGTGGAAAGGGGCGAAAAGTAAGAAGAAGCAGAAAAAACTCCAGAAGCAAGAGAAAGAAATGGGGGAAGAAATCAAGAAGAAGCAGGCGAAGGCGGTACAGGGGAAGATGGAGATCCGGAAGGCGGTCCCGGAAGTACAGAAATAAATATTTCGAGGCTTCCGGAAGGGTTGGAGTCTATAAAGTATCGCTAAAAATAAAGCCGTACAGTACCCGAATCGTATTCCTCTCGCCCAGATCAAGATCCCTCTACAAAGCCAGGGAAGGAATAACACGCATCTATACATTCAAACCGTCTCGGAGGTCGTGGTGGCGTTTGTTAAAATTGTTTTAATGGGTTTTTCCATCAATAATGATTTTTCCCCGAACACTTGCGATGCATTTGTGATATTGTTTGTTCAGAAACAATATCCTGTATAGTCAACATAAAATTAAAACGATTTTAAAAAAATGCACCTGAATTGTTGTTTTTTGTGAATTTTTTCATATATAGTTGAAAATTCATAAAATGTAAATTATTAATAATTCAGTAGACTCTTTGAAGATCTATCTTGGAGAAAAAAAATCAATGAGTTCCATAAAATCAGTTAATCAAAACAACATTCAAATATTACTCGACATAGCTATTGACCTTAATTGCATGAGTTTTATAAATTAATTTAATTTAAATGAGATTTTTTTTCTTTTTTCATAGACATATTCTTATTGTCAGTCATATACATAAATTCATTTATTCTGTAGACTATGGAAGTAATTTTGAATTTAAAAATGAAAAGATATGATTTCAATTACACGTAGTTTCAAATTAGGTCAATCAAAATAATATTAATAATTGCACGAATTCTGTATCAACAGATTTTATGGAACACAGAGAAAATGTTAATGTATCTTCAAAACATGGCATGGCAAAAAATAATATTATAGATAGTAAAACGAATAATGCAAGTCATACTTCTATCAATTTTTTGGGGGGGTGGGGGGGTGGTTAAGTTTAATATTGTTACCGTATCTTTAAACATGTAGCATATCAAAATAAATTAACAAAATTGGGCTAAAGACCTTGGCCCCTAATATGGGAGTCTCGCAGAGCAGAAAGATGCAGTAGTCTGCAATAGATCAAATACTAGGTCATATGATCTATTATCCATATTTCTCAGTTGAATTAATACAAATAAGATTTCCTTTTTTGAAAATTAAATAATCGATTTTTTTTCATAATTATATCTGGTTGACCCTGGATTGACCCGACAACGGGTAATGACTTTTTGTAAAATTCTATAGGTCTTAACATTAGACTATAAATCTATAATAATGAATCCTATCTAATAAGTAATTTTTTGTTCATTTATGTATTTTCCCTAGTTAATGTATATGTAACTACAAGTACGAGAAAGTGCACGTGAGGATTAATCATTTTTTATATAAATATTATAATGTTTTCTTTTTAAAGAATACCCTACCCCTTTATAATTTTCTATTAGTTTATTTTGATATTTTTTATCATCATTATTAAATATATGCCAGGTTCGTATAGCAACGATTTAAAAAAAAAGGGGGGGTATGGCACGCCGATTGCTTCAAAATTATTTTCTGCACGACCTCAAACAAAAATTACACGAGTAAGTAAAAAATTACACAAAGTGAGGAAAATATACACAAAGTTATTGAAATTTACACAAACTAAAGAAAAACTGCACAATCAACAAAATATTTACACGATATATTGAGGAAATTACACAAACGTAAAAGCGAAAACTGCACGAGTGAGAATACAACATCGACATAATATGCTACGCATCCTCATTGCGCACATGTTATTAATATTCATTAGAGAACAGCTCAATGTGGCTTGGATGCTTGAAACATATTATAAATACAAAAGGAGGAGTAACATGTTAGTAATCTTTTTAAAAAAGATTCTTTTGAAATTCCGCTAGACTCTCAAGAATATGTACAACGTATATTATGTAGATAAATTGACTGGCACACAATCTTAAACTTGTAGTATATGAAGATTGAAGACCCTCGAATAAAAAATATTCTACACAGAAAAAATGTATAAATAACGTAAAAAAGGGGGTTGCATATTACCAGTTGTGTGTTTAATTGTTGGATTTTTTAAAGTATGTCATTCCTCTGTACAGCAATTTCTTTTGAAAGTTTAAAACAATGACATATAGGCCTAAATAAAAATAAATAAAAACAACATGTGATATAATACAGGAGAGTTAACAACAAATCAAATTCTTCTCTCCTCCACCACCCACTGAGTGTACTTTTGGTAAAAATCAAGGATGTACATGCGTGACCTTTTCATACAGAGATCCTTCCCTGCTGGTTCTGGAACGAAAGACACCTGTACGCTAATCGATTTATAGCTATTTGACACACCGATAATACCTTTTGCTTAAAGATTATATTACTAGCAATTCATACAAAGATTTTGAAGCAATGTTGCGATCATCTGGGTTGTGGAATTTGACCGAAAACTTTTTGGGAGTCAACAGTAAAGAAAAAATCGAGCAAATACGAGTAATTGTGCAACTTAAATTTTAATATTGAAATGCATATCTCACTTTTTGACATATGTATGTAATAAAGTACATGTAGTACACGTAGTATTAACTTTTGAGCAACACGTGGTGATTTCATAAAAACTCCATGAAAATGTAGAAAAATTATACAGTCGTTTTACTTATATGAATTAAAGCTTAATGTATGTTGTTTTTAATGTACCGGCGGTAGTCTATTTTGAATAGTTAAAATGCATATAAAGGAGTTAAGAAAATTTAAAATTCTAAAATGCAGGCACGTAGTATCGTTTTTGAAAGTGGTGGGGGCAGCCAGAATTTTTTTTTGACAACCTACCTACCAACCAAACTCAAAAATCCTATTTCGTGGGAGGGAGGGGGGAGGAGGCCTTCCACTTTCTTTTCGAAACACATTATAGTACCAAATTACTTTGATTTAAACTATCCTACAGCAAAGGGGGCACCAGCCTTTCAGTGGACATTTACAAAAGATGTAGGTAAGTTTGGAAAAAAGTGGGGGGGGGGAGGGGGGGGGCAAGACCCTACTGATGCTACGTGCCTGAAATATTTTCTAAGAATTTAAGGGTACATATAATAGTCTACGGAAATCAGGATTGAAATTCAACTGAACTGTAACGATATTGTAAGACCAAATTCAAGAAGACATACAAGATGAACTTAATTAGCTGGGAGAAAGATTTCTTGAGGTTTATATTCATCACATGTTTTCTTATATTTATTCGTAGTCATGCTAGAAGTAAAACAAGACCTGGTTGATGCCATTGATACACATGTGCAATATTGTTATAAAGCAAACTTTTGATTACTTGTACATGCATGTATACGTACAAAATACAAATTGCATAGATTAGGCTTTTTAACTCATAATCTGAATTTTCAAAAACGTTAGATATGCACATGAATAATCTTTTAAAAAGTGTATCTTGTATCAAATATGTTCCTTTAATGTTATTGAAGATTATTTTCATTTTATAATTATACAGTCATGTTCTTCTTATAATGCCTATAGATTTGGGTAAAAAAGTGTTATTACAAAACTGAGTGTTAAAAATAATTAAAATTTTATGCATACAAATTCGAAATGTAAAGAGAAATTTTATCTTGGAAAATATTTGTCAAACCTCGAGCTCGAGCTCCATAAAGAACATGATTTATTTGAATTATTCAAGAGTGATAAAACACATTCTATGTTCTTTCTGTTTATTATAATATCCATTCCCATTTTCTTTTTTGTAACACTGTACGTAGATGTATTTAGTAATTCACTATCTTTTTAAAATTTCTGATGTGTCATTATGGTCCAACGATTTGAAACTTTAATAAATACATAGATTCAGATGTTGCGACTCCAATCAATCTACGAACCAGATCCGCCGCTGATGATATGTTTTACCAGTGCCAGGATCATTTGAGCAGAGTTTTGTTATTTTTAAGTAACAAAACACAAAACCACAAGTACTACAGCACATAGAGTATATATATATATATATATATCCCTTTAATTATCTGGTCCTTTTTATTAAAAGTGGAAGCATTTATCAAATAATCGCCATTACGAATGAGGGTAACGCTTACTCTTAGGAATGTCTTGTTTTTCATTGAGTAGTTTATGACTGAAAATATGCGTTATCACAGAAGGAATTCATAATAGTGTAGGCTGATATCCTCATATTTTTTTAAGTAAAGATACATTTATAATTAGAAATAAAATATTTTTTTTTATGTTCAGGTAATCCCCACTTTTTAATCTTTTTGAAAATAAAAAAAAATACTGAATAATTTCCTATTCCTAAATGAAAAAAAAAGAACTGCCCAAATGAATTCATATTTAGTACAAATGAGAAGTACCAAAATGAATTATAATCAGAAATAATTCTGCCATTATTTTCATGAAGAATCCACTTTATTAATCGTTTTATTATGCATGTGTTAATTTTATTTTTATACAAGTACTTTCCGTTAAAGTTGTATCTATCAGTTAGAGATTTTTAAAAGGCCATAGAGCGTATATTTAAAAAAAAAATAATTCTATCATTTTTTTTAAAAAGCAAGATGGGTTTATCGTTAGGAATTTAGAGTTTGCTACATGTATTACTTTTAGTTCGGAGTCGAGTGCCTCATATGCAATGGTACTTTTTTTTCCCCGCATTAACACAAACATGCGATTCCTTTCTTGCCACAATTTATGTCCGGCATCATATAATACCTCCATATTTTGGCTAGGATCTCGGTCAATATAAGAAAAATATGATATCTCCGAGCAACTTTAATTTTTTCTCACACAATTCACAAGAAAACACTTCATTCGTTCAATTGGCATCAGCTAGATTAATCAGACCGAGTTTTAGCAAAGAAATAAAGAAGCAAACAAGCATGCATATCATCGTCAACGCCATTTCCAGCATTCATGAAGAGATAAAGAGTACAGAAAACCAAGAACGCGATGAATATTCTAAGTGCATAATAATAATATGCGCAGCTGTATGCGCAGTAAAATTGTTTGTGTAATTTTTAGTTTCCTCTGCTCGTGCAGTTTTTGATTTTATGTTTATGCATTTTATACCCCTTAATCGTGTAAAAAATTTCGGATTCGTGTATTTTTCGTTATGTTTGTGTAAAAATCTTTCAAACTATGTGCAATTTTTACCGATACGTGCATTTTTATTTTACTCGTATATATTTTTCATCAAGCTCGTGTATAAAATCATGATCGTTGTGCAGAAAATAATTCTGACGCAATCGGCTTGCCATAGGGGGGTATCAAAAAAAGTCTAGCAAAATA